TTTCAAGCAATCTGTGCTGGCATAATAAATATTAAGAAATGGTGGTTCTTGGTCCACAGGGATTTCTTGCAGGCTGTTCTAACTCTGTGTAAAACACAGGAGTTCTAAATGTACTGAACTGAAACGAGCAGCTTTGGTGGGGCCAGGGCACTGCTGTTATCTTGGGCAAGGTTTTACAAAGTGGTGGGGTGGTTGTGCAGAAGCAGAGTAGGTGCACAGCAGGGGACAATGACCCAGCCCTGCTGGTGTGCTGGGAGTGGGACAAGTGCTGGGTAGAAAACTCAAATGTTCTTTTGAGCTAGTGTGGCACGTTGTTCCTGTGTGGTGTATGGAATTCAGTGCTTTGGGAATAGAAAAGAGGTGTATTTTTCTCTTACCCCTTCACATAGTCAGAAAGTCCAGAGAAGTCTTTAGGCAATGACTTCAAAATTATCACTGTTATTCAGGCAGTGTAGGCTTGGTGAGGGCCTGAACTGGGGCTGTGTAAACAAGCGTTACAGTGACAGAATAAACAGTCTTATAATTATTGTGAGGGTACATCCTTCTTGGAGTGTAATCCATTTGTAGAGTGCTGAGTGAAGGAATGATCCTTATGATGATTCTAGCTGCAGGCAATGGGTAATGTCAGCATCTTGTACGTGGAAGCCTGATCAGACTCTAAAGTCTCCTATCCAGTGGTAGAATCTTCTATAAAACCTTCCTTGCCCAGCTGTGGCAACCTCTGGTAACTGGTACATAATGTTTATACTTGTTTTATTTGTGTGTTGTCCAGCAGGTACACCCAGACTACCAGGAAACAGAAATCCCTGTGGTAAGTTTCCAGATACTGTGTGCTTGCTTGCATTGGATCATGTTTATGGTAATCTTGGTAAGTGGTAAATAAAACCTTAGGTCATGAGTAAGCCTGAGGTGAAGGAAGCAATCCGTGCAGGGTTTGGCTGTATCCCAGCCTTCACTGTTGCAGGGCTTGGTTGTTCAAAGGCTTTGGTCATACCAGTAGGAGAAGGTTCATTGTGGAGAATCTGGGGTGGTTGATTGTTGCTTTGAGGGTTAAAAGAGTATGGTGGGAATCAGGCTACTTGGTTTCATCCTCACAGTGTGTAACGTCCCAAGGGCACTCTAGAAAACCTTTTGTATTAATTACATGGGGTATCCTGGTTCCAGCATTAGGCAGAAACAGGATGTGAGGACGCAGGAGAGGACCATCACCTCAGCCTCTGGGTTTTCCCCCTTAGGTAACACACCAAAACTTTGCAGTGTCTAAAGTGCCCAATAACAGCAGCTGCACGAAGTGGCCGGGCGGCCTCGCGGCCGAGCTGCAGCAGGGCCTCTCCCCCAGTGAGAGGCACTGTGTGGAGACTGTGGTCAACATGGGCTACTCGCCTGAGAACGTCCTGAAAGCCATGAAGAAGAAGGGGCAGAACATAGATCAGGTAAGAGCTCGTGCAGTGCAAAGAAATGCTTGATTGGATGCTGGTTCTGCTGGGAAGCTGTCTTGGGTTTGCAAAATGGGTGGGGGAAATAGTTACTCCAGTAGGGGGTTGCAGCCTAAAGCTTGTGCTGATTTCTGGTGAGAGATTGCTAGAGTCAGCCACACCTGTGGGTGCTGGGTTGGAGCCATGCTGAGTTTGGGATGGTCCCTGTGCTCTGTGTGAAACTGAGGGAAGACATTCTGGGTCTCCCCAAGAGCCACAAATGCATCCAAAGGAGGCTTAGCATGGCTCTGTGCCATGTTAAGAGCCATGTGACAAAAATCCAGCCAACACAAACCCTTGTTCTGAACCCAGGGGTTTACAAAGCTGAAATCTCTCTTTGTAGCGAGATTGGCCCCTGCAGGCCTAAGGCAGCTCTGAGAGGCTCCTGCAAGGCCCCACTGACCGATTTGTGTGCGCCCTGGTGCTGCTCCTTCCTGCTCAAACCAGGTCACTGGGCACTAAGCACTGCTGGGCAAAGCGTGGCTCTTGGATCTGCTTCAAACAAACACTTCAAAGTGGGAGAACATGGCCCAGCCTCCTGTGCTGGCCCTCAGCAGGCTGTGTGCTGCACACAGCATGTCCCAGGGACTCCTGCTTGTGGGGCTGATCTGCTGGCCCTCTCCCTGCACACGGAGAGTGGCTTTAGCTGTTTGCTGGAGTGAACTGGGCTATCAAATGGAAAAAAAGGTCCCCTTAGGAGGGCAGTTTTAAATCCTGCTCTACTTGCAAGTGCTGTTCTTTCACATACCTAGCATTGCCTACCTGACCCTTCCCCTTAAAGCTGATGATGGATAAGAAATTTGGCAGCAGTTTCTGTGTGCGTGAGCTGGGATTTGTAGCTCACTTGCCAGTATGCTGAGTTGATCTTCAAAGGCTGACTGCTCTCAGATTGCATCAGCTCTTGTGGCTGTCTGAGAGGAAGCTAAAAGTAGACATGTCTTGGCTGCTGGACCTACAGTTTCATTTTTAAAACTTGTAGTATAAAAAGCACAATGAAACTTCTGCTCTGCCATCAGAGGGCTAAAGATACACTTCTGAGGCTGCTTTGACTAGAACGAAGGGGATGGTCAGAGAGCACAGCAGGACAGAAGGGTTTGTCTGCTTTCTCTGCACAAGCTCTTCTATAAGTAGTGTCTCAACTCTGCTAGGAAGGACTGTATCTCTGTCCCTGGTGAAGCACTGGGTAGAATCATGCTCAACCCCTCTGCGTGTACCAAGGTGACATTCAGCTGCCTGCTGCAAGTGCCTCTCTGCAAACACAGTGTTTTCTTCATTCCCCACAGGTTTTGGATTACTTGTTTGCACATGGACAGCTTTGTGAGAAGGGCTTTGATCCACTTCTTGTTGAAGCAGCTTTGGAAATGCACCAGTGTTCAGAGGAGAAGGTGAGGGTTCAGTGTGTGCAAGAATAGAAAAATGTGCCATGGCAGGGAATTCCAGCAGCAATTCCTCTGGCTGACGTAATTCTGGCTTTCATGGTAATGCTGCCTTGTTTCCAAAACTGACTGCCAAAGGATGTCTTTGTGTTGATAAAGCTAAAAGTTGTTAAAGAATTAGAATTTGTCTGTGCCATCCTGTTAGTCTCATTTGCATCCATTTTAATGGGGACGGGACTTTTTTAAGACTGCTTATTGTGGTAATATTGTTTTGAATGCCCAGAGTTCTCTTGTGGGCGAGGTGCTTGGTACAGATACAGTTAACTTCAGCAGCAGCAAATTGTCTTTCAAACCTTGCCAGCCTGCCCTGCCCATGAATTTTCTCCCTTGTGCAAGTGCATCTGCCCAGCTGCTCAGCAAATTGGGTTAGGGCTTGCTCTGGAAGAAGCTAGAAAATGTATGTGTTGGGGTCTGGTTCATTGTCTGGCTGATTTACCACCACCAAAGGTACAGCAGGAGCAGGTTGCAAGGGCAGAGGACAGGAGGATCTTTTAAAGTCTCCCAGCCTATAGTGTGACAGGTTACTACACAGTCTTCAGAGGCAACCCAACCCCCTCAAACATAGATATATACCTTCCTGCCTTTCTTGGACAAGTGATAATCTTGTAAACAGAGCAATAGCAGTGCGAGGATGGAAAATAACTGAGTTGGAGAAACCCATTTGCTATTGGCTCAGCCCCAGAATTGGAAATTGCTAATCTCCTGATTGCCCATTTCAACCTGCTTGCTTGTTTGGGATTTTTCCTTCCCCTGGAGTGGAGCAGATGCACTGTAAATGGCAGAGGGTTCGTAAAAGTGAGCAGCTGACTCACTTCTTGCCATTGTATTTTTCAAAGCTCAGGAAGGATTCACAGTTCATGTTGGAAATATTGCATGTACACAGTGGGGTTTGTGCTAATCCCCCAAGTTTGCCCTAGATCTGAGAAGCCAGTTGATAGCAAGGGCTGCTGCACTGTTCCCAAAGTCCAAGTAATTAAAAAAAAAAAAATCGGGTGGAGCAGGAGCTGCTGGATAGGGCAGCAGGGTGCCATTAATCAGTAATTTTTGGGATCCCACGTTGGGCCAGGTTGATAAATAGTCTGCCAGGGTGTGTCTCTCTTAGAAGTATGAGCTTTGGTGCCCTGGTTGAAGAGGATTTTGGAAGTGAAGGATGGCCAGCAGGGGACTGAAGGTCCCTTTGGGCTGCTGTGCCCAGAGCTCTGGTGGCTCTGGTGTGAGCAGACTTTCTCCCAACAGAGCTGGAATGGGCTGTGCTTAGGGAGGAGGAATCCACAGTCATGCTGCTGAAGAAAGGCTCTGTGATAAACCTCCACCAAGCACTGAGCCATCCGCTTTGCTCTGGCAAATAACAGGCTGTCTGTCTTTCAGATCACAGAACTTCTCCAATTAATGAGTCAATTTAAAGAAATGGGGTTTGAACTCAAAGACATTAAGGAGGTCTTATTATTACACAACAACGACCAACACAATGCTTTGGAAGATCTAATGGCCCGTGCAGGAGCCAGCTGAAGACACATTCCTGGATTCTTGGCGTGCAACAGAGCAGGACCAGCCCCGCCACCTTCACATCCAGTGTGATTTGCTCTCAGCGGAAGGAGTCCAGCTTTTTGCCTACAAGGGAGAGTGACTGAGCAAGCCTGCCTGCCTGCATCACTCCAGCATTTCTCTTTCCACTGAGGGCCAACTTTCATTCTTAAATTAAATTTTAAAGTGTCCTTTCCTAAGTTTCCTTTTTCCAGCTTGGCCACGGAAAGTTGAGACTGCCCAGCCTCGACTGGAATTGTACATAGGTAGAGATGGAGTGGTTCCCCCCTCATTGTTGCACTGGAGTTGGACAGAAGTATTAAGTTGGTTCTGAAACTAGGATGCTTTGGTTCTTTGAAGCTGCTTTCATGGTGTCTTGTCTGCTTGTACTGAATTACTTGACTGTGTCACAGTCCAGATTACCTGGTTAAATTTGACCTTTAGTGCAATGGAGTTTTATTTTTTGGTTGAAAGTTAGTCTGTAACTTAGTATAACACTGGTTCAGAAACTGTCACTATGCATAAAGAGAGAACCTTGGGGTTTTTTTTGTCCTCTTGGTTTTTGTTGTTTTACCCATGCATCCAACATTTTGCCAGACACAAGTGTCCAAAGCTGAGTGTAAGTTCCCTTGAAGCAGCTGTGAACTCAACCTGGACCTGCAGCTTGTGTTGGTTCTTAAACCTGAAGGCAGAGAGCTGGGGCTCAGTATTTTTAATCCCCTTGGGCTTGTAGGATATTTAAGACAATGCCCTGCTAGAAAGTCAGTTACTCTTTTTGTTTTAAATAATACACAGTGTGATGCAGGAGATTTCTTTCAAGCACTTTCTTTAAAACAGATATACTCACTGCATTAGTTCCATTTTTCACACTGATATAGAATTACATAATAATATCTAGTACTACAAATCAGGTTTGGGGTTGTTTTTGATAGTTCAAAGTATTACGTTGTACATTGATCAAGTTCTAAATACATTAAATATCAGCAGTCTTGAGGAATCTCTAATTTGCTAAATATTTTGATTCTGCAGAAGAACAACTAATAAAACCCTGAAATATAACTCCCAGTGTCATGGTTCCCATCTCTCATGCTCTTTGGCTTCAGCAGACAGGGACCTTGCTGCGTCCTGCCCGCCCAGGTGCTGCCAGCTCTTGTGGCCATGTGTGAACACTGTTGGGCACAGCAGCCAGAGGTCTCTGGGCTGCAGCTGCAGTGGTAGAAGGTGCTTTGCTTCTCTGTAGCTTATTTTTGTTTTGTGGCAGAACCCCAGCCTAGGGATACAAACTCATGTTAGAGCCTGGAGCTGGAGCACTGGACTGCTGGAGGGCAAAAGGTCTCAGCCCATTGCATCAGTGCAGGTTTTTCAGTAGGAGGGTTCAGCTCATCAGGACTCCAAAGGGGATGGCATTTGTCTCCATTATGTTGTTAACTTTCTATGACCAACACATCTAATTTGGGCCCAATGTGCACTCCTGGAATTCTCTGTGGGGTGCCCAACTGCGTGAATTAAATATTTACTTAAAATTATGCAAGAGAGGGATCTGCTGGCAAGTATCTAGGAGATGTGAAGAGGGATGATGAGGAGGAGCAGGGCAGGTTGCCTTGCACATACCCCATAGCATTGACCTTCACCATTTTCTAGTGGTGGACCTGAAATAAATATTGTCTAAGAAGGACTTCAGCAGCTGCTGCCTCTGGGAGTGCAAGTAATGCCCTGCCCAGCTTTTCTTCCTTCCCAGGTCAGAAATGCAACAGTGAAGTGAGGAAATGGGGTTCCTGATTAATTGGGAAACCTTGAAAACAAAATTCAAACTGCTTTTCCATCACTGCTGAGAGCATTTGGTTGTTGCTTGTTCTGGTTTTCTCAGAATTGCTACCCCAGTGAGTCCCGTCTGGTACCAGACAGTCTGGAAGGGGCAAGAATTCTTTGCCAGCAAAGAAACAACTGTTTAGACCAAACCTCTGAATAAAATAATCTCTGATTGTATTAGTGTGCGGGGGTTTTTTTCACAGTTCCCCTCCAAGGTCTGGCTCTTAACCCCACAGAATAGTCACTCTGCTTTTGGAGCTCTTGTGGAGGTGAGAGCAAGGAGGTGAAGGTGGGAAGTGACAGCTGTGAAGATGCAGGGTCTTATTTCAGAGAGCATGCCCACCCAAGTCTACCCTGGTGACACTGCTCTTGCTTTGGCAGTGATTTAAATCCTTGGGTGTCTGAAGGCATGAAGGGTATTGCTATGTTGGCACCTCAGTGAAGAAAACACCACAGAGTGAGGCGTTTAAGGGGGTGGCTTAGAGAAGAGGAACTGCTGAATGAATGTGTAACAAGGGACCCCATGGGACCAGAGTTCAGTGTTCAGGGTGCTGTGCAGCACTTGTTAATCTGCTACTGCCCAGGCAGAGTTCATTGTGGCTGGGGGGAGGTCCTGCTGGCTGGAGCAAGGCTGGGCTCTGCCCTGCTGCTGGCTGGTGAGAAGATTGGCTGCATCCCTGGTCACACTCACAACTTTGGAGCTTTTCCTTAGGCTGTCAGGTCACGTTGATTTATGTCCCTGCTGTGCCTTTGTCAGAGGTTCTGTCTGAGGTCTGTGTGCCTGGGTGGGAAGGCTGCTGAGAAGCGTAGAGACAGTGCTAAACTGGTGGTTGTACTTTTGGTTGTATTTTCAACAAGAGCATCTTTGAGCTGCCTCCTGCTGGTTCTGGACAGCAGCATCCTGGAAATGGCTCTGGTACTGCAGAGCCCTCCTTCACCCCCAGGGTAGCCGAGGGCTCCCGATCCTGCAGTCCAGCAGCGGGAGCAGCAGCAGCCCCAGTGCCCCAAGGGCTTTTTTTGCCCAGCCTCCTGTCTTCTGTCCCGGATCACAGAGCCAACAGCAACAGCATTCTGTGGCTGCTCTCCAGGCCAGGAAGGGTCAGTCCAGCTGTGGGTCAGGTCCTGAAACTCTCCACACCAACAAGCCCTGTGAAAAGGGGAGCTCGTACAGATTTCCAGCCCCACTTAAATCTTTTGCAGTCGATCGAATGGGCATTTTGATCATGTTTACCTAAAATGATTTTCACCAGAGTTCTGTAGCAAACTGAATTTTATTTTAAATTCTGTCAACTATTGAAATAAAGTATCAAGCTTTTGCTAATAAGCATTAATAGTCATTGTTGCATCTGACTACAAAAGTGAATCCATACTAGTTCTGTGTTTATTTGATGGTACATGGCCAAGCTCTCTAAATCTCTTAGATTGCTTTTATGACACTTTAACGCACATTCAAGTTGGAAGTGAAAATCTTTTGTAGCAGTTGTCAGTGAAATATTAAAATGGTAGGAAGGGGATGACACTTTAAATGTTCATTTAGCACATTTTCACACAAGAATTAAAGCAACATCTAGGTAATAAGCCTCAAAGGGGAGAGAAAAATGTTACCATTTCTGACAACAGCTGGATAGTTTCTGTTGCATATGAGGAACCTAGTGTTGCTATCTTTGGGGTGTGCAGCACTTCAAGCATGTCCATGTTATTGCCAAGGATGGGCTGCTTTTCACAGCCAGATGCTTTATTTTTTTATTTAGGTAAAATCTCACCTTCAGTAGAGGAAATAAAATTTGGAGAATAGACATAATGAAATATTTAAGAAAGGTATAGTCATGTGGATTGGTTGGATAACCCATTTAAAAAAGAGATTGTATCAGACATTGGAAAGTTGTGTGTGGTTGTTGTTTTGATTATTTGTTGTTTTCCAGTGTCCCTGGCTGTTCCTTGAGGGAGCAGATAGTTCCTGCCCTGGGAATTGCTGCTGGGGCTCAGATCTGCCAGACTTGCTTTTTTCACAATAGATCAGATGGGATTCACAGGTGGCTCCAATCTGGCAGCTGACTTCACTCACATCTCCTCTGCTCACAGAAATTTTCGGTCGCTCATCTGTCTTGTCACAACTGTGCCTGCAGATACTGAGGTTAGGACATGGCACTGTGGGTTGTGCAAATGATTCTTATGTGTTGCTTAGGAATATCCAGCTTCTGCAAGACACTCAAAATGTCTGTGAAACATACTTTGCTCACGTGCTTTTTAAAAACCTGAAAGAGTGACCAACCAACACTCATCTCCCAAATGTCAGAGTACATGGAGGGAAAATTTTCCTCCCTTGCACTGTTTCTGACTGGGTATCACATTTGCCTGTGTCTTGTGCACACATCCTACAGTCTGACCTTTTCTTTGGTTTCAAATAGACTTGCCAAACTCCTCAGCTGCTCCCTGACACCAGTTTTTGCAGCATGCTCGCTCAGAATGTGCTGGGGAAATTAAGTGCCCGCAGCTAATTTATCCTGTCAGGAGGACTATCCAACTGCCCTGTATTCCCCTCACCTTACTCACAGGTAAGCTCTCCCTGGCCCCAGGAAGTGCAGGGAATTGGTGGTTTGAAACACTTGCTCCTCCCTGCGTGGCTGCTGCAGAGTGCTGATCTCCCACTGCTTTACAGCTCTCTGGTGGCTGTTGGGCACCACTGCTCTGTGCCATGCAGAAATACCAAGAGTCTTGCTCCTGGATGCCTCAGCTCCCTGGGTGAGTGAGGGAGGCTTCTGACCCAGGTTCAGGGGACTTGCTGCTGGTGACCAGGACACAGGAAACACTTTGAGAGCCATAACCTCAGACCCCAAAGAAACTGCTCTCTGCTCCACAGAGAAATATAATCTCAGCTGCAAGATGGAGACTAACCAGTGCTAAAAGCAACTCAGCAGTCAGGGCAGTGATGTGGGATTTGCTTCTGTTCCCCAGGCCTACGCTGGGTGACATTCCTGGGAGTGTTTGCACCAAATATGCATCCCAGAGTGTCACTGCAATTATTGTCCTGCAGCTCAGCCCAACCTGGGCTCCTCAGGGAGGCTGCGCAGGCAGGCAGCAAAACCCAGAACTGGTCAAACAGCAGTGTTCCATTCCCCTTGGCATTTCTGGCTACTGAGCAGGCTTTCAACAACCTACCACAGGCATTACTGAGGAGACACAGAGACAGATGAATGTGCTGCGACAGCCCTGATGTTGGAGTGGGAGCGCTCACAGCGTGTTGTCAGCAAGCGTGTCTCAAGGTCACTTGTGCCTTCAAAGCAAGTGGACTGGCTTTGTGGTTCAGTTATGATGCATGCAGCACCAGGGCTCCAGCTGATGTCTCCGCAGCTCTTGGTTCAAGTAACAGTTTCACATAACAGTGCTTCTGGCAGCCCAGTGCCTCCAAGCAGACCCTGTTTTCATGTGAGAAATCTGTTCAGCCCTGCTCAGTGCAGGCATTAGACGTGGTGTGCTGCATGTACAGCTGCTGGCATCTTCCTCTGGGCACCAGCATGAAACCCATGTGCTTATAAACATGCCAGATGGAATCTTTGGTAGGAAGTCCCTGCTAAACCACTCCTTACCCCTTAACTTAAAGCCACCTCTTTCAGGAGTTCTGGAGGATTCATCCCAAGCACTAATTCAGCAATAGGCTTCCTTCCGAAACTGACAGCACTTCACACACCCTGCCTTGACTTCCAAATACTTAAGGTCCAGACAGCTTAGTGTAACAATTCCTGGCTCCTCTCTCTTTCCTGGGTTTTGTTTGCAAAGACTTTTCTAGGTAGCTTTTGAGCATTTCTGTTTTGACCTGTATCTGGCTTCAAAGTTGTTTCCCTTACTTGGCAATACAGGATTGCCTTCAACACGTGAGAAGCTCCTATGATACATTAACACAACTTGCCTGCTACTTGGTGAGATATTTAAAGGCTGCTGAATTGTTACTGCTCAGAATGTGGCTTACTGGTATTAATGAAATACAAAGCTTATGGTGCCAATTAGTCATCTCTCATTTACTCAGAATTCTCTCCATCCTTATATAAAACACACACTAGTCACAAACATCAGACCAAACACTATCCCCTACCAACCGCACTCTGCAGCACCAAGTGTAGCAAAGTGCTGGCTGGGGTTTCCTGTAGCTGCTCCAGTGCACGTGTAAGCAAAGCAGGTCTATACTGGTGGACGTGTTTGCAGTGATTTGTCAGTGCCCGGGGAGACGGAACAGAGCTGAAGCTGGGCTCGCATTGTTTGGACACACTTTGACTTCAGCACCAAGATTTCATCCAGCATGGCCATGAAGTTCTGAAAATCCTGGCGAGGAAGGCACAAGGAAACAGTAGGGAACAGTATCAGCAGGTTGAAAAAAACAGCATATTTTTTACACTGCAGCAGAATGTAAAAGCATTCTGCAGAGTAGTAGATTAAATCAGCATTTCCTTATTAAAATCACAGCCCTCACAGACAAAGGTCAGTGCCTCTAAATACCAAGGTTCACTGACTCTGGTAGTTTTATCTGTTAGTGAAATTACAGCTTATGTAGTGGCTTAAAAATAAAAATAAAGCAGCTGCTGTAGCTCTTCTACTCTGGTTAGCTTTTCAAAGGTTTGGTGCTGGGACTGGTCTCCTGGTTTTACCATGTACTGAACTCTGTTCCTGACACCTGTCATGTTGGATTTATCAATTATGAAAATAAATGGTGAGTTAGACCACTGTGGATCAGACATTATAGCCCAATCTTGAGAGATGCAAGGGATTTATTTCCCATCAGGTCATGGGGCCACGGCTGCAGGTCTGCCATGAGCAATACCAGCACCATATCCAGCCTCAGCCTAGGGAACTCTACCTTTCATAGCCACACTGATAAAAACCAGTATGGAACTGTGATTCAAACTGGAGTTTTAATCCTTTTTTAAGTAGGGCTGTATTAGTAAGAGCACTTGGACATGCTCTTCTCTCCAGCTGAGAGAGTTTGGTGCCTTTGTTCCCAGGTCTGTGCCTGAGAAGCTGGGAGGTGTCAGCATCCTCAGGGCTGGGAAATTCAGCTGCTGTGTATGAAAATCAGTCATGAAAAAGCTTATTTGGCAGTACTCCAGCTGTATCTCCTGCACTGTGTCTCTGTCCTGCAGGGAAATCAGGACAGCTATGAAGACTAACCCAGCTGCTGTGGCATATTTTTCTTAAGCACTTTAAATATTGCTTTGTTCAGTGTGTGTCTGGTCTTAACAGGAGCTTCTCCTGCAGCCAAAGTTTCACGGCTGGAGAAGTTGAAACTATCTGCAAATGGAAGGAGAGAAGCTGATGCATGAAGCCCAAGCACATTTCATTAAAAAATGGTCATGCTGTGAAATAAAACTACAGGGTATGTTATTCACATACTGCTGGGAGGCCTGGCAAGCTTGTAAAAATTCTGCTAGCCAGAAAATAACTGCTTGCTGTAAGGGGCAAATAAATGCAGGGAGAGAGCTAGTGTCCAGTGACTAACAGACTTAACAAGAACAATCTCAGAAGATTAAAAAAAATTAAGAAGATGAAAGATAGCTTTGTTTCACTGCATTGTCTGCCATAAAACAAATACAGTTTATGTCTCCTGTGCTGCTTTGTGAACTGTATGTTATCTGTAAAGCAGCATGTGCATCTTGAAATCACAGTGAATAAGCCACATGGTGGCCTCACTCCAAAGTCCCTGAGGGAAGAGTCCCTGTACTTCAGGATCTGAACTGTGATATGAGTTGAAGTGGTTTGACAACACAATGCAGCAATGGAGCTTGGCTTTACTGAGAAGGTGAGGAAACTGGGAAGGCAGGAGTTCTCACTGGAAAATGTTCATAGTCTGGATTTTCACATAGGTGTGACAGGCATCTGTTGGGATACAGGCGAAACAGACAACTGGGATTGCCTAGCTAGCAGTGGGGCCATGCAGGTGCCAGTTTTTAGGTCTAGGGTACACCACTGTCATCTGAGGCAAAGACAAGCCAGGAAACACTTGAGTAACCAAAGCCAAGAGTGTGTGAGGCACAAGTCACAGTGGTCAGAACACTGGACTAAGCCAGGCTCAGGTTGGTGGCACACCTGCAGTGTGATAGGCAAAGAGGCTCCCAGAAGGAAGAGCCAAATCCCACCAGTGTCCTGCCCTAGGGGTGTGCTCTGTTTTATTGTATTGGCTTACTTGTCCCAGCCTGCAAGAGCAAAATCATCACAGGGACAGATGGCGTGTCTGGTGCAGTCTGCCCCGAGATGCGAGATAAGGGAAGGCTCTCTTATTAGAGACAAGGGCTTCAGGGTTGGCCCATCCATCTCCTGCTCCCCAAGGGCCTGTCACAGTGGAGACTGGCAAACACAGCAGGCACTGAAAATGAGAGGCCTCTCCCAGGACTAAGGCCTTGGAGAAGGGCTTGAACTGACAAGGAACATCACATCACCAATTCAAGTTAATAATCTCTAGGATTAATTTGTGCAGGCTCAGTGGGCACCAAAACCATAATTTGAAACACTTACCATTGCTGACATCTGATTTATCAAGCACTCCTCTTTGAAGCACAGGTGTGCCAGTTCATCCAGCTGCTGCTGATGAGCACGAATTACAGTCTTTCTGATTAACAAAAAACACACGCTGGTTACACAGCCTGTAGTGTAATCACTGCTTGTGATCACAGCTGGCCTCAATAAACCTTCAAGAAAGAGGAATACCCCAGAGGAAGCCTTGCTGTCCTGTGTCCCTGGCACTCAGGAAGGGCACACCAGTGCTCTGTGAAGTGCAGTGGACTGCACTGGTGTGGGCTTCAGGATGAACTGGGTGACTGAGGGCTGCTCACAGAGGAGTGACCACAGCCCTTCCTTAGCACAGGCAGCACACAACTGCTCTTCACTGTAGGAGAATCAAGGAGCACAACAATCGTCTAATTAATAGGTGAAATGGTTTATGGCCATAAGCCTGTAAGTAATTCCAGTGAGAAACAGGCTGAGCAGGAAGGCTCAGTGCTGCTGTTGATTCCTCTGAGCAAGTTTCACCAACCAACAATGTATTTTCAGTCAAGGGAATGCAGTCCAGTCCCTGGGAGCTGACAATGGCAGCTCAGAGTACTCAGAAACTTTATATCTACATCTTCAGTGACTGCTCAGCTGCTCTAGCAGCATTTCTTTTCATTGATGGAACAGCTATAACCTGATTCTTGATGGAAGGTTTTGATATATTTTAGGTACTTTACAGCTTATAGTAAGCCAGTTAATTACTGAGAACTGCAGTTTGTATTATAATATTTATTCCTCTAGCATTATCCTAGAAGCTCTAATATAATAATTGGCTTCCTGTGAGATTTTAAAATATCACTAAATAAAAGCAACCATATTTTTTAAAGATAATTACTATAAATTATGATTAATCTTATAATTGTTTAATAGAACGATTAACCATTGGTTTATGAAATAGGTATGACATACAAAAAAAGGAAATGTATCACACATCCAGATTTTCTAACCTTCACTACAAACTTCATTATGAGCAAGACTTACTGTGCCTTTTCTAGGGCGTCCCTCTGCCATTTCCCCATCTCTGATGCAGCACTTGGAGAACTGCTGCTGGACACGTGTGAGGGGCACTTTGCATTTGCTATTGGCTTATTATCTTTGGTTGCAAATCCTGCATCTGCAGCAAAAGTCTCTTGTGTAAAAATACTCTGCTTTGACTTGCTTTTCAGCAACTCTGTCTCCTCATGGCCAAACGATGACTTGGCAGGGTCTTCAAAATGGGTGAGATCCTCATTCCTCAGCCCTGGCTTGGGCTGCAGCTGCCAGCAGCTCTCCTGAGAGGGGGACTGGGGTGCATAGCTCTTTTCAGCATTTATTTCCTCAGCACGGGCCCCTTGACTTGAGTTAGACTTCCCTGAATTACCAGCACTGTTATGCTGATTACCATCAGCACCACACCACCTGCCTCCCGAGTGTTCTTTGAAGGGGGAGTCACTGCAAAGCCCCACACCCTCTTTCTCTGGCCTGGCGAGGGCAGATCCAGCTGCGGATCCAGCTGTGGATCCAGCTGCAGATGTTTCTGTCGGGTCATGTCCAACAAACAAACTGCGCCGGACTCCCTGCTTGGATAAAACCGGTTCCAGGTGGCAGCAGCACGGCTTCACACGGCCACAGGTGGGTGGGAGATTCTTGTTTGTGTCTCGAGAGGAGTCCAGCAGGGCACAGAGGCTTCCCGCGTGGCCAAGCTGCTCCACCAGCTCCAGCATGCTGTCGGTCAGAGATCTGCTCCTGGTGCACTGCCAGCCCTCAGCCTCAAACCTGCTCTGGGCGTCACTGTCGGGCACCTGCTTCTCACCATGGGGCTTCTCTTGGTTGGAAGATGCTTTCTCTATTTCAGTTGTGTCCTCACCATCAGGAGGCGACACCAGGAGCGGGGTCGTGAGCTCGGAGGTGAATTCTGAGGAACAACTGGAAGAAACAGACTGGCTGACTTCATTTTTTCGAACTTTCCATTTTACACCTCCTCCTGTAAGGCCAGCCTTTTTAGCCAAAGTGGATTCTTCCTTCTCATGCTGGAGATCAAACTCTTTGCACTCTGGAGTTCCTGATTTCAATACAGGAGATACATATGGGGTTGAAGTATCCTTTTCTGGAGTTAAGGTGCCTTCACTGGAGTAAACAAGACTTCTGTGTTTGGACTTGTACTCTTTGTGTTCAGCTAGGAAGTCCTTGCCATTTCTCCAGCTGCAAGCAGGATCTTCCTGCAGGCAGTAAGGTTTTTCTGCAGTATTGCTTGGAGGGAATTCAACAGCTAAGTCATGGCTCCAGTCTGCAGTAGTTTTGCTGCAGCCTGAATTTTTAGTGGATTCTTCTGCCTCTGAGCTACCCTCACTACAATCCCAGTTGTCATCTAATCCATGATCTTCCATGGGTGTTGCATATTCAAAAAATAAATCCTGCCGCTTTTGGCCTTTTTGCTCTTCTTCAGTTCCTTGCTCTCTTTCATGAAGGAAAAATGAATGTTGACTGGATTTGTTGCTATTTCCTCTTTTCACACTCTTTTGACTACAAACAGGTGAGAAAGAATCTTCACTGAAATCACTGTCATCCAGATCTTCCAGCTGTACCCACTCTTTGCTCTGCCCTTCAGTTGGAGTAAGGCTCAGCTCCTGCTTCACTTGAATCTCCTCAGGCTTGTACTGCATTAGAAACCTCTCAAGGGGTTGATAGTTCAATTTTTGCTTTAGAATAGGGGGTTGCTGAAACTGCTGGTGATAAAGACGTAAATGCTCTTCCCTTTCCTTCTGATATGAAGGCAGATATGTCCACGGTTCAACAGACTGTTTAGCAAAAGTATTTCCCCATTCCTGTTTGCTGTTGGAGGGAAGATTGCCATCTCCAAAGGAATTATCTTCACTAGAAACGAGTTGTTTCTGAAGAGGTTGCATTATCTGGACTTTCTGGCACTGGACAGGTGTTCTGTTTTGCATATACTTGTCTTGCTGGCCACTCTCTTCTGTTTCTGCTGTGGCAATGAAATCCTCCGCTGAGGAGCTCTTTTCAGAGAGGGGGGATAGATAATTTTTCTTCAGGGGATGTGTTATTTGTAGGACTCCCTTAACTGGGGTGGTGTGGTGGAAGCAGGGACTGGTGGTATTTTCTGTGTAGGCATGTTCTTTGTCAGTTCCCTTGGGGGTAGAGGTAAGAGGGACACCAGGTGGCTGGAGTGTTGCAGGATATGCCTTTGGTTTTGTAGCACTTGAGGGATGCTGTAGGCCTAGCTTCACTTTCTTTGGAGAGCTCTTTTCCCCAGGTGGCAAAAAGGGAGTGCCTTGGATATTTTTTGGAGATACATTTCCAGCTCTGCGACGCCTTTTTGTGACAGGGGTGGGATATCTAGTCCCTTTCTTCAGCTCTTTGACCCTGCAAAAAAGAGGCTGGATTTAGAAGATGTCATGCTTTCAGATAAATAACAGCATCTTCAGAACAAATTCATGCTTTCATATACTAAGACTGAATATTAAATTCAACATCATGACTTGTTTTCTGTCTGTGATTCTTCAGAGGTATCAAAATCCTTTTGCTAAAATGCCTGGACTTTTGGAAAAATCTATAGCAGTCTTTTTAAGCTCTTCCTTGAGCAGTGCATAACAGGTCATGCTCAAGTGAGTGGAAATGGCCTCAGTTTCAGTGTGAGTGCATTTCCACACATCAAAATGCAGCAGAACCAGCTGGTATTCTCCACAGCACATCACAGAGTCCCACAAGGCTCAAAGTAGGACTTTTGAAGTAGTTGCAGTGAGGCTTCTTGCCTCAGGTGATGTGCACAGGGCTGCACTGCTCCTAGATCAGACTCAGCAGCACAGCTGTGAAGAGCTGCTTAACTGGTATCCCTTTCCCCTACCACCCTTTCCCCTACCACCTCCCTCTGCTCCTCTTGCCCCTCAAGTTGTCTCTTGTTCTTTTAAGACCAGCATTGCACATCTTGTGATTTAATTCCCGCTCTGTAGGAGGGAGGATGAAGGCCTTGCACACATTCTAAGTAGAATCAAAATACAAAACTAAGTCAAACCTGTTGATTGCCCTGCAGTTTAGCAAAAGTATTTCCCCATATAGTAGCACATAGTGATATTTTCATCGCCGAAAGCGGCCATCAGAAAGTACTTACAAGACCCAAAAAAATTTAAGGCAAAATATAAGAGTTGGAATAAGTAACGATTTTATCAGCTTTTTAAAGATTCTGTTTCTTGCCTAAATTGATATTTTCAGTTCAACTATAACAAAATGTAATGGCAAACATCATTGCAGTTTAGCAAAAGTATTTCCCCATATAGTAGCACATAGTGATATTTTCATCGCCGAAAGCAGCCAGTGCTTTCAAGACACAAAAAAATTTAAGACAAAATATAAGAGTTGGAATAAAGTAACGATTTTATCAGGTTTTTAAAGATTCTGTTTCTTGCCTAAATCGACATTTTCAGTTCAACTATACTAAAATGTAATGACAAACATCACGCATTACTTTTTACTTTGTGATTTTCACCCTGGCAAGAACTGAGTTTCACCTCCTACCTGTCAGCATATCGCAGAGTGTTCAGGGTGTGCTCTGCAGCAAGGTGGCTCGGTGAAACATTGGCTATCATACATGTCTTGGAATTGCCAATGAAAGAGTCTTTTAGCACCTAGGGTTTGAAGGAAAAAGAAATTGCATTCATCCTGTAAATTAGCAACATCTACAGAAGAAATTCAACATGAGCTAGAGGCTTATTAATTTTTCGGATAAATGTAGTCCCATCTCAGTTTTTCTTGCCTTTATTTGTTTATAGTTTAAAATGAATACAAGTATTAATTAGGGCTCCAAACAAGCCCTTGTTCCAGACGTCTCAAGGGTGCCAATATGGTTTGAGAATAAAGCAGCTGTTACAGCTGAAGTCAAGAAATATTGATGAAAGCTCCAAGGACAGTAAAGGAATAGAAGATGCAAGATTGTTTTCAGACTGTGGGGAGATGGATGGTAACTCTGTATGAGTCTGGACAGTGGTGTTTGGGGTTTTGTTTGGTTTCACCTCTTGGCTTGTTTCTTTTTTTCCCATGCCAGTCCCCTTTGTTGGCTGGGGGAAATTGGCAGTTGGCTTTAATTCTGTGCTTACATTTAAAATCAAAATTTGCAAAAGCTGTGCATTTCCTCTCTTCCTCAAGAGAGGAAGCAGTTACTGAACTATGCCATTTATTTATTTATTTGATTTTCTGCTTATTTTTGTCCTCAGCAGGGAAACCTCTCCTCCTGCCTTTCTGCTCCTTTTACCTGAGTTAACTTGCTTTGCCGGAAAGGAGTATGCACTTGTTCCTGATCCAACGCCCGAATGCATTCCTTTAGCTACCAAAAGAAATTAAAAACAGAAGGGGAAAACAGATCAGTCATGCACTGGCAAGGAACTGAACGGCATCAAACCAAGCCTACCCAGGTCCTGTGTCACTTTGACTCCTACAATGTGCTGTCCCTTGCAAGGTCAATTTGTGCCCTTCCTGATGGCTCCACGGGCGGCACCAGATGCAAGGAGCAAGCACAAACATTTAGCACACATGGAGCTCCACAGAGCTGCTGCCTGCACTACATCTAGTTCGTCTGAAGCCAGACTGGGTGTAGCCTAGGCTATGCTGCAGCTTGCAGGGCAGGTGTACCCAAAGGACAGAGCTTTTTGAGCTTTTTTCTTTCTTCTGGAGAGAGCAGATTACGGTATTGTCATGATGATACTGCCATCAAGGATTTACAGTCATTCTACATTCTACAAACTCCCAATGAAAATGACATTTATTTCTTATTTTTACAGCATTTTATCAAAAATTGTACCTGTAAAAAGTAAGAGATCAAACTATTGTAATTCTTTAGTCTGGCTCTCATGGTTGCAGTGTCTGAAAGTCTTCCACATGAAAATCACATAATATTCAAACCAGCAGCAGACTTCAGATCTCATGAGTTAAAAGGTCTGAAGAGAGAATTATGATCATTGAGGCCAAAGCTAGGCTTTACAGACTGCAGGTTACGAAGATTTACCCAAAGCTGCTTTTTATATTTGATTCAGTTACTACTTGTAGACTGTCCAGGTATCTTCTTAGTTTCACACAATACCAAAAATGTACAGACTCTGATTTTACAGTTTCTTTTAAAAGAATTTCATGGGCTTAGGATTCTTTGGAATCACAGAATTGTTTAGGCTGGGGCTTAGACCTTCAAGATCAGACTTCTTTCTATAGAGAAAGAAGTCATGACACAGTTATTCACCAGCAAGTACTCAAGAAAGCATGAAGTACAGAAACACATTCACTTCACAGGCTACCTCCCCAGCACAAATACTAATATTCCAGTGCAGGAAGGGCCTCTATGCAAAAGAGCATCTACATTCCCCAAGCCACCTCCTATTTACAACAAACTAAGAGGTACAGCTGCGTGCAGACCTCTGCACTGCTGGCTCATACCCTGGAACCTGTATCACCCTCAGCCTCGCTTAGAGAAGCCCCCAGTCACCACTGAGCTCCTCCTGTTTGCATTACAGGAGGTGCAAACCTTTCTGCAGCATTTACACTTACAGGCACTTCTGCTTTATCATAGATGGCATTTTTCTGCTCCTTTGTCCCTCTTTGCCTGACTAAGGACACTTACAAAGACAGTTTGCCTCAGGAGTGCACTTCTTCCTGTTCCTTTCTCCCCACACATAAATTGATAGTTTTTATGTTCTTAAGTCCTTTATTCCTGATTTGAAAGAGAAGTCTAAGTGGTAAAAATAACTGGCAGGAACAGATGTGCTTTTATGAAACAAACACGGCAATTCCAAGCCAGTATTCTTTAGAAGGGACAAAACCTTCTATATTAAATATGGGTCACTTACACTACACCTAACATTGTCCATGCTATGTTTATCTGTCTAGCAGTAAGAATGGATTAAAAATACTTAATTTTTATATGTTTATCTCTTCCTTCTTAAATTGTTTTTCAGTCATGAGACAAATTAAACTGAACACACTTAGTACCTTGGTTATTTTTTCCTCTACATGCATACATTATTCTGTGGTTAATTTTTATCCCAAAACACATGCTAGTAATTAAATACAAAACCTTCCCCAGACATAATAGTAGCTTACTGCCAAAAGACTTTGGTTTATTTCTGCTCCTTCCATTTTTGTTTGTCGATTCGATTCTTTGGCATCAGCTGCTCTTTCACTGCCAGCCAAGTCAATGAATGATATCCTAGAAAAAACAAAGCTGCATTTATCTTAGGGGCTTTTTTTCCCTCTTCTTTTTTTCTTTATTAAACCAGCAGGATGCAACACATGGCATCAGAAGAGTGATTAGAAATAACTACTTTTGAACAACAAGAAATTTCCACTGGAAATATCTCAGTATTCTTTAGAAGGGACAAAACCTTCTATATTAAATATGGGTCACTTACACTACACCTAACATTGTCCATGCTATGTTTATCTGTCTAGCAGTAAGAATGGATTAAAAATACTTAATTTTTATATGTTTATCTCTTCCTTCTTAAATTGTTTTTCAGTCATGAGACAAATTAAACTGAACACACTTAGTACCTTGGTTATTTTTTCCTCTACATGCATACATTATTCTGTGGTTAATTTTTATCCCAAAACACATGCTAGTAATTAAATACAAAACCTTCCCCAGACATAATAGTAGCTTACTGCCAAAAGACTTTGGTTTATTTCTGCTCCTTCCATTTTTGTTTGTCGATTCGATTCTTTGGCATCAGCTGCTCTTTCACTGCCAGCCAAGTCAATGAATGATATCCTAGAAAAAACAAAGCTGCATTTATCTTAGGGGCTTTTTTTCCCTCTTCTTTTTTTCTTTATTAAACCAGCAGGATGCAACACATGGCATCAGAAGAGTGATTAGAAATAGCTACTTTTGAACAACAAGAAACATCCACTGGAAATATGTGAGATACCAAAATAAACATAGGAGCAGGAACTGTGTCAGAGCATCTTAACATTAAATAATAGAAAGTGTAGTTACATGAGATGACAGTGCTTCAGAGTTTAATGGATAAGCTGTGTAAAGTACAACACATTCATCTCTGCAGATAATCACTCTGTTTGTAGTTTCCTAAGAACAGGGCTAAAAGAAATTTTAAGTGTTTTGATTTCTCCTTCTGGGTAAAAGGGACAGCTGCCATGTCAAATGGGAATTCAGGACAATAGAAACAGAAATTTTCAGGGTAGCAAATAATACACTGAGCTTTCAGTGATCCCTGTTTTTCTTTCCACAGAACTCCATTACTCCCTTTCATGCTCCCTAGCTGTGGGTGCCAGCTGCTGTACTGACTGTTGCACTGTATCTTTGTCTTGGTCCTTCCTCTTTTTCTACAACAGCCCTGACTTCTTTATTGGCACATCTTGGCATCCTTCCCTCAGTTCAGCTCCACCTCCCTTTCAGACTCACAAAACCCACCCAGTTCAAATGCCACACATACATAAACCTCTATAATTTTTATTTCTAAGCCTGCCTGTTCTGTCTTTTCCTCTCTTCAGTGTTTGTGGCTTTCCCATTTTGCCTTGTGTTCAAAATTAGATCCTGGGAAAGAAGACAGTGTGGCAGCTAATGGAAGGAGGTGTTAGCAGGATTATGTGATACTTGACAGTAATGCAGATGCATAGATGTTCTTCCTCAGATCTATTTCTTGAGGTTGTTTACTCTGGAGAAAAGATGACTGAGAAGAGGTACAATTCGCTTTTGAATACATAAAGTGGATGCCACAAGAATAAGTAAACTGCTCCTTCTGTCTGCTGCAGATAGCATCAGAGTCACACATTCAAATTATCACAGAGGTTATTGTGAGGTACTCTGATTCTTCTGGCCAAAGGCAGACATCTGTCATGGAGTCATCTCCACCAGGGCTGGTCATCCCACATGCCCTTTGTAGTCAATTACAGGACAGAAATGCTTTGAGGGGTAAATGCACCTGACCTAATTTACTGCAGGGATCCCAGAAGTGGCAATTTTATTCTACTGACTTCAAAGGAGGTGAGTTCACATGTGGATATGTCCACTGCAGGCGTTTACCTTTAGCTAAATTAAACACTGAAGATGAGGGGACGGATTTCATTGTCAAACTCCTTCACTGGAAATTTGTATGAACAATTTTGACAAAGCTCTCACAGATGTACCTAAAACATTCTCCTTGGAAATAGAGAAAGGGCTGGGGAACTTTTCAAAGTCCCTTTTAACCCTGTCTTCTAATTTAACTCACACTTGTGCACTAACACCTCCTCTTCTTCTCTTCAATGTCCCTGGGCTTAACAACAGCACTGAGCACTTCAGCTTCTGCTCTTACCTTCCAAATGCCCTGTTGGCTGTGTCTTTAATTTGAATTTGGATGATGGCATGAGACCGAGAGGAATCTGAGTTGACTGCAGTAACTCCTGTGCTACGTTCTTTCCCCCCCTTCAAAATCACCTGCAAAATAAGGGGACAAAATCCAAATGAATTGTAAATAAAACCACAATCTCTCAGAAAGAGATCTTGTCCTCCTAAGGTAAGGAAACACTGTGAGGAAAGGTGCATTACAGCCTTAAGATTGGTGCAAGTAGAGGTAGACTGGATCCCTCCAATATTTCTTTCAGAGCTTTGGGCATAGACTTGCTTGTAGTGACACTATAGAGCCCAAAGAGCACACTGCAAGTTACAATCTGTTGCATCACACACTCACATTTGCAAAATATCCAAATTATAAAATTAAATTCTTGTATTGCTGGCATACTTTTGTAGTACTATAGACACAATCTAAGAGACTTATGAGATTGACCATTTGTTGTGTTCTTTTAAATTTTTGTTTTCTCTCATAGTAGATGAGTACAGTTATCCAGAAAGTCACACAAAAAGTTATGAACTGCCAAAATCTTTCTAAATTTCCAAAACCAAAAAAAAAAAAATAAAAAATTGCCAGAGTAAGGAACAAAGTTAAAAGATTAATTATACTCAATACAACAGTAAAATAAGAAAACAAGGAAGGAAGGCAAGACAGGAAGATAAAGGCTCCTTCAAGATACAAATCTGGATAATTCTTTTTTGAAAACTTTAAAGGACTGTTGCAGAAAGTTTAACATTGACTGCAGCAGAGCATTCATAGAAAAACCATTAATTTCGCTTCTGGCTGCAAGAACAAATCAAAATATTGCCTAGCAAATTCAATACATTCTCAGCTGATAGATGTGGATTATTCATGCTTTTCAGTGGCCAGTTCTCAATGACCAACATAACCACCCACTGCAGCTTCTGAGCTTTATATCAGTGCTAAGTGAAGATAATTTTTGAATCAAAGCCAACATCAATGAGTGTGACTAACCAGGGATGTGTTCAAAGCTCTTTCCATATATCTGTTGCAGAATACTCAGAAGTTCTGAGTCAAGCCAGCAACATTTCTGTGCTCAAAAGGGCCTGTGAACAATGTATTTTTTCCCCCAGGATATCTGTAAGAATTAAGTAATTTAATAGCTCTTCTGTGTGTGGAATGTGATAATACCAAGGAATTGCAAATCAACCATATAGTAAATTTGCACTCTAACTTGTAGAAACGTCACCAGCTTGTTCTGAAGCTTGGAGTTAATGGAAGGATGAACAACTAAATTAAGTGCAATATCAGTGGACAAAACGATGACAATTTTAATGAGCCAGTTACAGTGTTAGGCACTTGTAACTGACACTTCCTTACCAAAAAAAAAAAGAATTAAACTATGCAAAGTCAGGCTAAATAGAAGGTAGATTTAATCAGCTTGCTTGTTGCAGGACAATAGCGAAAATTTGCCAGTGTCCTTTTAGGGCTCAGACAGCTAGGGAAGAAAACTGAAGCCTTGTTCTTGGTGAATGTTATCTACTGTTTAAAGATCTTAATTTTACTTGGCTGTTATCATGCACACACGTAAGCAGTATTTTAATCCTAATTCACACAAAATATCTCAATCTTAAGTATTTTCTAATGTCTGTTTCTAATAATTTTCAAATTTATATATTCTGTGCAAAAACCATGTGTCTTTTATATACAAAAATCTACGTCAATAGACCCACAAGATACCACACTGGGAAAAATACATATCCAGCTTTTAAGGTCCCTTACTGGGACACTATTTAACTTCTGGAATCTTTCCCTATGGAATGGCAGAAGAAGCAACAGCTGTGAATCAACTACTTGAACATGGCAAACACAAGAAACAGCTTAATGAGTAAAGGCACTTTTAATAGAGCCCCTTGGTGCCCTGCTGGGGTTCCAATCTCAAGGCCTTAAACAGGAACATAACTTGTGCTACACAATAAATAATCTCTGTAAGTGACGCACCTCACACATAAGCAAATTGGGCTGCAGAAGACAAAGAATGAACTTCAAACATTACCTCCAACAGCTGATCTACAGAATCCACCTGAACCTCCCGCAGTCCAACTATCTGAACAACGTGCTTGCCATCTTCTCTTGCATAAAGCCTGACAAGAGAACAGTGCAAAAGGAGATATATGAAATCTTAGAAAGCAGCAGTGAAAAGACATGTCCATGCCGTGACACTGAGAAAAAGCAATCAAGGCTACTGACAGGGGAGATGCCCTGCTGTCACTAATTTATTTTCAGACCTGGAGAGGTACTTAATTTATAACAAGTACCACTGACATTTCACTGCTAAAGAGGCATTACCAGTCCATCTCTGCTAGTTCAAGAATATAATAAAGCAGGGAATTTTACCACGTTTACATTTTAGAGTTCCTGTCTCCCTTTAAACTACATCCCAGGCTTCTCTAAGTCCTCATCAAATTGTAAATTTTGTTCTGTTCATTCTAAGGAATTTTGCACAGGATTTTAAAACAGCTCCTACAGCCTTGGAGTAATATTTCAGCATCACCTCCAGAGGCTTGCTGGGCTGAGTCACTGAGCTGCCAGATAAAGGTGTCCAGGGAGAAGGTGAGCAGGCTTTGCAGAGTCAGGAATGCAGGAGATCAACAGGATCTTCAGAGACTGGATTGGCAAGAGCCAAATACCCACTGGCACAGCAGGAGGGACAGCCAGACTTTATGCTTGACCAGGGAAAGACAAGGACTCCACAATGGTTGACACATGACAGGCTGTCCAAATAAGTTGTGGATGCCCCATGCCCGAAAACGTTCAAGGCCAGGTTGGATGGGGCACTGAGCAACCTGGTCTAGTGGAAGTTGTCCCTGCCCAGGGCAGTGGGGGTGGAACAAGATGATCTTTAAGGCTCCTTCTCAAAATGTTCTATGATTTTAAGAAAGGAACTTCTGGCCACAGGTAGCTTGTTTCTCTACCTATAGATATCCAGTTAATTTATTACAGTGTAAGCAAGAGCCTGAGCTTGTATCTCAAACCTTATTTTTCCCCAAAACAACAAACTAGGATTCCCTATCAATGTCACAGTATCTACTGTCAGATCTTGCTATCCTCCCTAAGTATCTCCTGTGAAAAACCCCAATTAAATATGCAATATTTGCTATAAATGCTACTATGTTAAATATAATCACATGAAAACAGTAATTGATTTCCAAACAGTAACCAACTGATTCACAACCACAGGCTTGTAGGAAATAATGTTTTTACTTAAATACCTTTTCCTTCCATTTAGCAGGTCATAAAGATGTCCGCAGTAGATCTCATAAAAACTGATCAGAACAACAAGATCTTTTCTGGATGGTGATGATTCCAGGTGCCTAAAGATGTCCTGGGCAGCCAGGGCATAGAGTCCTGGGTTCCGGTGATTCCCTATCATGGTGTAAGTCTTGCCAGCACCAGTCTGCCCGTATGCAAAGCAAGTTGCATTGCCTCTGTGAAGACAGCATATGTGTTTAGTGCCACATCTGATTCATTCATATCTAGTAAATAATATTCTGCAATGCTGGTATCTATCTACAGTGGCCCCTTAGCAATGAGGTTCAATCTACTACCCTCTCTGGGAACCTGCAGAATGCTTAACAATGATTTCCAAGTACACCCTATGGAGATCTGATGTGGTACAAGGTGCTGGCTCTCCCCTTTTCCTTTTCCTTCTCCATTTCCTTTTCCTATTCCTGCCCCTCTTAAAAAAAAAAAGACTTTGTACCTGGCTCAGTACTCCTGGCAGAGGAATGGGTAAAAAGGTAGGGCTGCACTAATCACAGCAAACAATTTCTTGCCAGTTTAGATTGCAGATTGGCCTGGCCATGGTGTCATATTAAATGAATGCCAGCAGGCGGGATGGAAAAGAGGAAAGCTGGATAAAAAATAGCACAATCTCTTCTGGTGGCTTCACTGGACTAAGGGTAACGTGAATTGTGGCTTTAGTGATTATTACACAGCAAGGTACAAGTCTCATTCTCCTTTCTCACTTTCCTGTTCTCAAGAGCATGATACTCTGTCTCTATTGATGACACTTGGAGATTTTCAGTAACCGAATGCTCCATATTGTTAATTTTCAGTATGGATACGTAATCTTTACCTTCAAAGACTCAAAAAAGTAATTATATTAAAGTATATATTATATATATATATAGATATATATAGATATATATAAAACACCTTGTGTAGCGGCAAGATGTCTCATATAAAGCCACCAAAAATTTTCCATTAATCAGGAAGTATGTAATTAAAATTAAACCTCTATGCAAATATAAATCAATAAAAACCAATCACAAGGTTATTCATAATCTCTATTACCTTGTGAACGGTACAAATACATGTAAATATGTCTCTCAGTAGTCTCAGGAAAGAGTAACATTATTTCTCTACAGATGAGTGTGCTCTGTCACACAGGAGCCTTTGTTGGAGTGAAGATGAGAGCTCAGAAACCCTGGGACACATTTTTATTCTAGGCTGACCATGCTTTGGTCACTTAGTTGCCACTGAGGTTTAATTTAACCTTCTTCTTTAATTGAGATTTCTCACCTAGCATGAAGAACGTTTTCTCTGATTTATTTTTGTCAAAATTGCAATCAAAGATATTCTGAAAGGGGGAAGGCATGTGGCAAACATGAAATGAGGATATGTTACAAAAGATGAAAAGCATAAAGGAAAATTCAGGCACAGACATAAAATTGGAAAACAACAAAACAAAAAATAACCAATGTAAGCACTGGTGCCCTACCCGTTTAAAATATGCTGAATGAGAGGATAAGCTGTCTTCATGTACACATCCTGATTGGTACATGACTCCTCAAAGACTTCATCAAAATAAAAAACATGCTGAAAAACAAAGATAATCTTTACTTGAGGATGAATATGCTTCACTTCCCCTCTAACTCCATTCAAAGGTAAAATGAAATAATGAAAATCTTTCCAGTGACTTCATACGGCTTTGGATTAAGTGGAGAGTGATTTAGCACACTTAATATGCAGCACAACTCATGTAGGAACACACCAGTCAAGAGTTCAGGGTAGGAAAAAAAAAAAGGAAACAAAAATGCCTTAATTTCCCATCACTCTGAAGCATAACATACCAGAGCCTTTTAACATAAAATAAAAAAAGCTAATTAAAGAAAACCTATTCATGAAATGAATCAGCCTACAGATGTACTGTCAGACTGTAACAGTAAAAAGAACTGAGAGTCAAATCTTGATTCTCTCAAAATTAGTTCTCACTTGTGATTTAGTTGTGATTAATTGCCTCTGTTCTTGAAAAGTTTTGTGCCAGAGAAGAAAGAAGCTGTTCCTAAGCAAAGCTACATTATCTGAACTCAAAAGGGGGCAAGAAAATCAAAACTTCCCACACTCCAGATCAGACTCAAAGAATCAGGGTCTGTGGAAATTATTCAGCATGTGGCCCACTGTAAAAGGTGGCACATGAACTGGGCCTGAGAGAGATCTGAAATTTTACCAGATACTCCAGACAGTTGTTACTAGGGTCCAGATTGTAAAAATAACACTCATGAGAGCGAGAATAGCTTGCTGCCTCTACAAATCAGCTCTGTCCCTGGTGCTGTCAGTCACAGTGAGAATTTGAACTATGACAGCACAAATTATTTGGGATTAAGAGACAAAGACAAAAGGGAATTTAATTTTCAAAAGCATTTGAGAAAAATAGAAAGAAGGAAGGGGATGAGGGTGTGTGTATGATTCATTAAAACAGACCTGAAGTGCTGAAACAGTGGAAAGGGAACTCCTCACTGAAGTACCCTGGAAAGCCATCAGCAGGCATTTCTCCTGCAGCAGTGGGCTTATTTTGCTACATACAAAGAAAGTTCTAAGAGACATACTTCCAGACCTTAAAATTCTGGGCTCAGGTTTGCTGGCACAGTCTGGCATAAATCAGAAGCAACTCAAATACAGACAACTCTGAGCTAAAACAAAAGCCCATCACCTATTTCAGTGTAAGAAATACTAAGAGTCCTTTTCTGTTTTTACTCATGGAAACTCCAGGCACAGTAAGATTTATCCATGAAAGTGACTGGCCCATAAACACAACCTCCAGTGGAGGACGTTACCTGTAAAATGTATTGTGTAAGATCAACTGCCTCCTTCTTCTCGTGGAGAAGCAGGGTTTCCTGATCTTGCACTGTGATTATGTTAGCCTCCCCACGTCTCTCCTCCCTCAGGCAGAGGGGACGCTTTCGGACACACACTCTGATTTTTTCACTCTCTGTCCATGGAGTCTCTTTGTCGAAAGTATTGGATCTACAACAATAATGGAAGTCCACATTTTAAAATCAAGTTACAACAGAATCTAGAATATGCCTGAATTTGTTACATTTATCATAGAATGTTCCTGTTGTTAATGCCTATCAAAAAACTCCATGACACACCTCATTTTATATGATGCAGTTTCTGATGCTTTTTCCTAAACAGACTGATGCTTCCTGTACACTTCTGTTAAAGGAATAGTTATGTTTGTACAGCTACACCCCTGAACTTGCTGCTGTACTGACATATTTTAAGTTGTACACAAACATGAGATGGAAACTGGCATAATATCAAAGTTAATGTAATGAAGTTTACTCTTCTGAAATTATTAGCACTCATGATTAGTCACTTAATCATGTACAATGGAAATATTAATAGATCTTGAAAAGGAAAAGATACAATACTTGGTTGCTTTTCTGCTCATGCTGGACTTTTTCCTTCCCATTACAGACTGTCCAAATGGTTACAAGTAAATGACTCAAACTGGCAAATGAGGTAGTATCACCATGTTCCTGTTCAGCTCAAAATAAAACAAAAAAAAGAAATACTGATCTCATTCTTGTCTCCCCTTTGGTCTTTTTTCATTAAAAGTTTATGTGGTTTTAGACCATAAACAAAGTGGTGCTCTTATGTTTCAGCAATTTTACTTTAGTCCCCTTCCAGACACCTCAGAAACAGGAGGTAATTTCATGTTTCATTGATTAACCTGCTGCGTACAGCATTTTGTGAATAGTACAGGCTTGAATTAAACAAAGTGTATTCAATATATCTCTCCCTTCTTCAAACTGTCTTCAGCCAAATCAGTAACGATTTTCAGCCTGGATTTGCATTTCAAATAATCAAGCCCCAACTTGCCCAAAAGCAGTGTTTCTGCCACACTCTCCAGGTGCCAAAATCTCTTAGCTCAGCAACTGAAAACTCATATATTCCAGTTGTCTAACAAATTGTAACCCTCAAGTCACTCAACATCTCATTAATATCCACAGGCCTGTGGTATCATTGCTGTTGTGCTCCACAATTCCCCAGAAGTACAGAGATGCAGATTTAAATCTCAAGATATCTCTTTGAAGACCATACATGAGCAATCTTTACTTGTCGCTGGAGTCCCTTTAATTTTAGTACAGGTTTCCTGTGCAATCCAGGATCAGGCTGTGCATTTAGATAGAAAATTCTTTTGTCACAAAAGAAAGGCAATGACACTTGAAATAAGATGCTTCATAAGCTGGTGTGAGCTTATGCATATCACTAGGCACCAAATGTTGTCCAACAAATGATCGGAGGCTCTGAAGTTTAATTCTCGTGCCAGAGGGTGTAATTGGTGACCTGCAGCAAGAGCCTGCTGTGCTCTAAGGGCTTGAAGCAGAAAGGATTGCAGTATTTGGAGAAAAAAAGCCCTGAAAATTTAGATACTCTGCTAGTGAGCAAAAAGGAATAATTTTTTTCTAGTACAGAGGAACATTTTGTTGAGTGTATTTTGTATGGGAATAGAATGCACATTAATTCTATATGCTGAACCCAAAGTTTGTATTTCTTACTAACTCTTAAAATATAAATTGTATTTTACAATAAAATAAATTTTCATTACTCGGAAAAAAACCAAACAACAGACATGACAGATCATCAGAAATCTGACTAAATAATAGGTCAGAAGGACAATTATGTCTTTGAATAATCAAGTTATTTGCTGTGGGCAAGTTCAAAATAAATCTGAACATATTAAAAGAGCTCTTTGTCTTTCTCCTATCTGAAATCATATCTGTGTTTTCCAATATTTCTCATAGATGAGATTAGGTAAGCCTTCACAGTGGTCAAATCACAAGGTGCCATGGGAATGGATGGATTGAGCAAAGCAGTTAAGCACTTGCAAAACAGGAATCACAAACTTGAGTGTAAGCCTGCTGCTCCAAGCCTGCCTGAAATGCACAACTCTCCAAACATGAGAAAATTAAGTTGAGGCATATCAGGAGGAGGATGCAGAAAGCCCATGAGATGAGCCATAATACTTGGCACAGAAGAATGTGCTTGCAAAAGAAGAGAACAAGGAAAGAGAGGACAATGAAGAACATGTCTCTATTGCAGGATTAAAAATCTTTAACTCCTTCACTTGAGTCATTAGGTTTAATAATGTATAATTTTTTAATTTGCCAGCATTATAAATCCTGTCCTTTTAGCTGCACATTGGCTCATCTTCCAGAAGAGACAGAGAATGCACCCAGGTATCAATATACACTGGAGGTTAGTGCACTTCTCCAGAAGGTGGGAATGATTTTTTTTTTCTCTTGCCAAGGAGAGTTATAAACCTTTGTCTTGCCTTTCACAGTTTAAGTGCTCTACTTACTACATCACCTTAGTACTTTTTCACCATGGCAGCAACATCTATCTCTCCAGGCTACATGCACTCCAGGTGGGAGCTGTAATTAACAACTCAACTCCATGGATCTTTCCCTGTACCAAATCTTTCTCCACAGCCTTCCCAGACCAGACCTAACTTCATAAAACTGCCTCTTTTCATTGCATATTAACTACCATAACTGCATTGCAAAAGCTAGATACTGGTATTATGTGTGCAGAGGCATACGTGCTCTGCTGGTGAATCAGGAAAAAAATAGTGCTTTAAAAATGTTTCTACAATAGATTTACCAGTGGTTCATGATAACCCCAGCCCCTCCAGTACCAAACACTGGGAAAAGTATGGAAGTTACAGATCACATGCCTAAGGAGCAGCTGCAAGGCATCCCTCTCACCATCAGGTCTGTAATCCTTCCCAGCTGTATTAATTTTCCTTCCTTTTAAAGCTTCAGTTCAGAAATTTCTTAATAAACAAATATAGCCATCACGGCTTGTATCCTTTTTACCAAGAAAAGCTTGACAAATTTAACAACAGACAATGCCGTATTTTGGAAAAATAATGTTTTAAAAAATAGTCCCATGGAAAGACAAAGATTGGCTCAAATACCAAGAAAAGAAAGCCTTAAATCCTGAAAGAAAATAAAGACTATTCTTAGACAACCTTGGTGAGTAGCAGCTGGTCAAATTCAGATGATTCCTTCTATGAGACTCGGAGAGTTGGAAATGCCTATTAATATCTCTCTTGTCTGTAAGACTTTGCATTGCTCTATAGTGCTTGGATTGCTTATTTGGAGGTGAGGAAGACAGATTCTGCTCCACAATTAAGAAAGAATCAATTATGATTAACCTGAAGTATTAGCAAAATAAAGGTGAGTGATTATTACCTGATACAGGAATGAGGTAGTCCATAATTGTACCCTGAAATATGAGTTACTCTTTGTACAATAGGAACTTCAGAATCGCCCCGCAGAGGAGCAATATCATCAGAAACTGTTGGACAGCTCAGGTCATTTTTTGTACCTATTCCAGGAATATTTAGGTCTCTTCTAGTTAATCTGATTGGCTCTGAATCGTGTGGTGGAATGTGTCCCTGTACTTCCCCTACACTGTCCTTCTCTTCTTTGGCACTGAAATCGGGTGGCTGACACAATTCAGGTTTAGAGTCTTTAGCTGCTCCATCATCTTCTCCACAAAAGGACTCGAAACGCAGCTGCCTACGGGGTCCTGACTTAGTCACCTGAGGCTGAATGAAAAGGCCACGTGGTTGAAAATCCTCCTTGCTTAAGTCTGCAGCGCCTTCCTGCAGTGTGATTTTGATTATTCTAATGAGCTGGAAAAGACGTTTGCGGTCATTTATGTCATGGACCCCCAGTTTGGTGTAATCTTCCATGGAAACTTCGGCAAGCTCATCAACTTTCTGAAGACCAAAGGCAGTAAAGTGGGGATAATATTTTTCAAGTTCTGCTTCACAAAGGCATTCATAAAGGCATGATGCCATCTTCAACCTAGAGGCTACAAGAAATCCAACAAAATAAACATTAGAATCACAAGAAACATCACATCTGACAAAGTTACTAATGAAGAAACTGCATTTCCTGATGCCACCACTTGCAGCTGGCTAGAAGCTTGTTTAGCTCCAAGTTTACCATACACTAGACAAACACTAAAGAAAATAGCAATAACAACAATAAAGTAAAAGATGAAACACATATTTTATCCATTTGATGCCATCTTCAACCTAGAGGCTACAAGAAATCAAACAAAATAAACATTAGAATCACAAGAAACATAACATCTGACAAAGTTACTAATGAAGAAACTGCATTTCCTGATGCCACCACTTGCAGCTGGCTAGAAGCTTGTTTAGCTCCAAGTTTACCATACTCTAGACAAACACTAAAGAAAATAGCAATAACAATAAAGTAAAACATGAAACACATATTTTATCCATTAAACTATATTTTAAAATTTTATACAATACACAACACGTAAAAAATGCACAAGACAATATTACTCACTGCCACAGAGCTCCTACACGCCTGATGTCTACTTGATGAATGCCACAGCTACTGAAACCCTGTCCTCAAGCTATAGAATGTAAAATGCCTAATTTTAGACAGTCAATTTAATATCAAGGCACATGGTCTAATGTGGTTCAGCTACCCCTGGTTAATTAACCAGAGGAGAAAAAACTGCATTTGTCCTCACCTCAAGCTGCCTAATTAAGACCATTCATCTTACAGATGAACTATAGAAAAGTTGCAGTTTTGTTGTGTACTTTTCTCTTTTATGTCATGAATCCTCTGAGCATTTCTGAGTCTCCTTGACAGAAAAACAACAAAAAAAAATCTGCAAAATTTGAAAGACAGCATTTCTCTAAATCTATATATGCCACTGGAATGCCATACTTGCATTCTTGGGAAACCCAAATAAGAAACATGAATCACTGAAAAGTATGTTTTAAATCCCCCAACTTCTTCACTTATGTCTTACATGGTGCAGCTGTCTGTATCCCAATGGATTGGTATCTGCAGATATTTTTATTACTTCCATCAAATACAAAAATGATAGCACTTCAAGTATTTTTTGCCCACTGCCTTCTCATATCTTTGTTCAGTCTAGGACCTTAACAAATACTGCTCTTACTCATGTTTGGAGGTCACAGTAAGACTCAACAAAAATAAGTTATTTAAGTTTTCCTCCCTGTGGTTCAGGGTAGATTCTTTGTGAGGATTTTCAAGGCTCTCTACAATAACATTGTACAAGAAAATAACGTCATCCCCAAATCTGAGTCCATGTCAGTAATTAATACATCATGTTGAAGTAATAACAATAAAATCATATGGATTAATATAGAAAATGCTGACTGTATAAGATACTACAGGGGCCAAAATGTACAGTAGAGAACATCTAAAATGACTTAGAATCCATGCTTTTGGTAATATTATGAGATTCAACAACAACAAACTCCAAGACCAAAAAATTCACATGTCAGTGAATTTATTTAATGTGTAGATAATGTGATTTTGAATCCTGAGGTAAAGTTAGAGTCACTGCTGAGGCTGCTAGATCCTGGGAGGGGGAAATCAAAACTGACAGAGAGGACAGCAAACCCAGAGAGCAGAGAGACTAAATACCCAATGTGTGCAAGGGTTTCACAAGCATTCACAGCTTGTCAGCTTTTCTAACATATAAAAATACACAGGAACCTGAGACTTCATTTAAAGAATTACATTTTGGAAAAATCCCCTTTCTTACATAAGACAGCTTTAGATGTAAAACCAGTACAGGTGCTGTGCAACTCTCTGTATGCACTGCCATGGAAAATTTCTTCTGTTTGATGAAAAAAGCAGTTAGAGCTCAAGGCCAAGATACCAATCTCAAAAGTGTTGAGAATCTGTTAAAGACAAAAATAATCCAATAAATTTACTTTGTCTACTCTATCTGTATCTCCTAGATTACACCTACGTCTTTATATATCCTTATATTAAATACAGAGTGTCCACAGACCCTAATTCAGTCATAACCTCTCTTGAAATTATAATGGTGAACACAGTAGAGAGAAAAAAGTATAAAAACATAAACAATGGAGACACTTTCTAAAAAAAAAGCAGCATACAAGGGAAGAGAATTACAAATGTGAAGGTCAAGGTTCTAATTAAAAAATGAAATAAAATATATTTAAATAGCTAGAAATTACATGCTGTCATTATATGGAGTGACAAGTCAGAAGAACTCTCAGCATTACGGAAATCCAAGTAATGTAGATACTGCAGAACCTACAAGAGCAATGTAAGCAGCTCTCTGTGGCTAATTAGCTAAGGCTGTGTGCCACATGAAAGCAACTAAATGGTTTCTTAATGAGACCTGGCCTCTTAATGAGAATTGAGATCTGCCTTTCCAGGCAGAATAAATCTTACTGGATCTAAGTGATTTCAGGGGTAACTCCACCAACTCCTTATTGACAGGACAGGAATTTCACGAGCTAGGGGAAAAAAAAAACAACAGCTCACTAATAAAGGAGTAACAAATTAATTAACCACAGGAAAAAAAAAAAATTAGGGATTGGCATAATGAGAGGATCAGCATTTTTGATCACTTTGATACTCAAGAGTAGACAATTGCTAGAAGATTTTGGTTCAAATATGAAAGAACTCAGGGAAAACTGAGAGTGAAACTCTTCTCACCTTTCAATCACTGATGCTCTAAAAAGAAAGGGATTTCTTTCTCCTTATTGAAAGAATACTTTAATTCATCTAACCCTGTGGAGCTCTTTTGTGTCTGAAGATGCTTTCCGTAACAGATAAACAATTCATCAAAATAAATTTGCTTTGTGAAAACTAAGAGGAGGTTTTCAAGAATCCTAAATTGTTAATGCCATCTTCTGGCAAAAAAAAGGCAGAAGACCTTTAGTCTTATAGCAGGCAGCATTTCCTCAGTTATTTATTTATTCACCCATGAGAATAACATGTCATGGGGCAGAAAAACATACCATTCTTCAGTGTGGTGTTTTCATGCCAAAACCTAGGTCTTGTTCCCCACAAAGATATGGGTAGCTTCACTGAAAACAGGGTTGAAGTAAAAGACTAGGACTTCTTGAAATAGTTGGATATAACATACTTTGAGAAAGAGGTGAGTGTGGAGGTATAATTCTCTATGTGGCAAACATGAGTTTTCTACAACTTGTTTCTTATGCCAAGACATCTTACAAAGATTTTAAAAGGCTTCTAGATGCTGGTAATGGGTAAGTGCTTATTGTAAAAAAGAATTACAATGGGTAAGTGCTTATTGTAATTAGAATTATATATAAAAGAGACACCAGCTTAGCCACAGAATTAGATTGCAGTTTGTTATAAGAGAAATCTTCCTCAGCTTCAGTATTAGAGGTTTTTCAAAGGTCATAAAGCTGATGAAAACCAGAAAAGTTGGGTGTAAATAACAGGAAGGAGTGGTTACATTTTTCTGTATTGAAGAACAAAATTATGCTCTAAGAGCTGATTCTCCATTTTAAAATGCTTTAAATTATTAATTACCTCTTTCACAAGATCTTTTCCTTCTCAATGCACTTTTCAAGGTGGAGGCAAGGTCTTCGAAGGTGCTTGGTGAGTGTCAATCACTGTGTATAAAATAAATGATGTAAAAGCCCCACAGAGATTATTTTAAGAATAAAGCAGCCTTGAACCACTATACCTTGATCATTATTAACTTCTGATTTATTAAAGATCTCAGTACCCATTGACTTGAGTAACCCTCACATGTCCTGTTTTCCCACTGTAGCTCACTCATATTCACCTGACAACTTTAGACAATTTACAGTTTCAATTTCAGATTTAGATGATTTCCTGAGTGTCACCACTGAGAGAGAACACAAGTGTCATTATATCTATTCTTCAAATTAGGGAAATAAAGTGAACAAAAGTTACGTGACATTCCTACAAATGCAAATGCTGCATTTTGTCCTGCATATAGGCTAAGGTAATCACTCTGAATAATAAAACCTGGCCTGGTTATGAAATAATTTCATAAATCATGATTTTCAAGGGTATTTGATAAATATAGAAATTGTTAATCAGATTACAAAACATAAACACCACCTTGTTTTCCATGTAAAGCATTGTCTTCTACAAGTACCTTACTAAAATAAAACTTAAAAGCTTGAAAATTTGTAAATGTGTGTAGCAGGTGGGTGTTTTCTCCTGATAGCAACTGCAGCAGCAATGTTTTACACTGTACTTGCTACTTGCAATCATTTTGCCCCAAAAAGGACTTCAGCACTTCATCACAGGTTCTGCTCATGCCAAAGAATTTCCAGGTTTCTTGAAACACAGAAGCAAAGCATGAACAGGGAAAAGGGAAAGGAATTAATTCTTGTCACTACCCATCCATCTTCATTCCTTATTCATTTGAACATTAAGCTCTTTTTTTTAAGGTGATCCAAAGGCAAATCTGATTTAACCCTCCAGAAGTGAATGGCTAATTTGCTTTCCCAGAGCACCACACAAAATGCTTTACCTTTAATCATTCTGACCCCATTCCCAGGGAACTGGGGCTTTCCTGTGAAGAACGGGGTCAAACTGCAGCTGCACTTTTTTTAAGACAAGCCCCACAGCAAGAGAGAATCTGTGCTGTAAAATGAGCCCAGAATTTTAGTTTAATGCAAAAGGCAGGGCTCTGCGAAGCCATGGTTGACGTTGCAGCAGATCCCTTTGGAAGATCATAGGATTACTCGACCCTGCACGTAAACAACAGGGCATTAAACATTCCACTGCTCCTTGGAACAAGTGCTCAGCTGCTCTGAGGCTGGGCACTGACAACAGATAACCACTTACAGCTCCAGTGCAGCAAGAGTAACTGCAGAGGAGAAGGTGGGAATGATGCTAAATGGTTTTAATGCTAAATGGTTTTAAAGCTATTTTACTGCTGGAGCTTGACACAGGTCTGCTGCTTGCAGCCACAAGTGAGAAACGGGGGTTTCCTTTGCCACTGACATACCTTGAGGAAGTTACTAAAACAATTAATGTCATTAAAACTGCCTCACAAACAACTAAACATCAGGGATTTTTTTTGTTTCCCCAGCAAGCATTTCAGAGCATTGTGTTGCTCTATCCATATTAACTAATGTCACTAAAACTGGCTGACAAACAAATACTGGAGATTTCTTTTTTGTTTCCCCACAAAGCATTTTATTCCTCTCTCCATACTAATCATAGCCTGGTGACCTCAGCAGAAGAGGCTCCATCCTGCAGCTGATCCCAGCAGCTGCCAGGAACAGCTGCATGGAGAAGGGGAAGTGACCAATATTGGGATATTGAATGTTGGAAGTGTCCAGTATTCAACCACGTGCCGAGAAAATAACCCACGAGTTATGGCAAGGTGCCAATTATTTGGAAATCCTGCCTGAGCTCATCCTCCTACCCAACGTCCCTCATGGTTTCTTTAATAATTTCAAAGTTCTACTTAAGTTTAAAAATATACAAACATAAAAATATAGTTCATATATGTTATATAAAATATATTAAAATATATTTTAAGTCGTAATTAAGCAGTTTATATATTTTACATAATGTATATAAATATGTATTTTTAATCGCACTTGCATATTTTACATGTTACATAGGTTATGTGCTATCTGCAAAATATATAAAACACATAATTGAAAGATATTTTATAACTACAAAAATGCAGCCAAACAAACCGCCACGCGCCCGGACTTGCACCGCGTGTCTGAGGCGGGGGACACGTCCCATCCTTCCCGGAGCTGCCCCAGCACGGCTTTTCCCGGCGCGGAGCCCGGTGGGGCCGGCCGGGGCGGTGTCCCCGGAGCCCCCCCGGCCGCAGCTGCCGCGGTGCCCTCAGGGCCGGCTCCCCCCTCACTCACCGGCCGCGGCGCCGCTCGGCGGCCGCCATGAAGCCGCGTCTCCATGGCAACAACGCTTTTCCCGCTTCAAACGCCCGCGCGCAGCCTCGCGCGCACAGCCAGCCAATAGGGAGAGGGGAGAGGGGCGGGCAAGGCACCTCCCGGCCGCCAGAAGCCAATCCGAGGCCTTCTCGGGTGTGGGGGCGGGGCCTAAGGGAAGGCTGGAGGGCGGGACGAGAAGGGAGTGGCTACCGGCCCAGGCGCTGCTGCTGCGATTGGTGAATGCGGACGCCAATCGCGCGGCGGGTCCCGCCCACTGCCGGACCCGGAAGCAGAGGTGAGGGCGGGGGGCCATGGCGGCCGCTGTGGGGGATCGCGGTGTCCCCATCCCTGGGGATCCCGGGTCCCCATCCCTGGGCACGGCAGTGACCGCCCGCGGGCGGCGCGGAGAGGGCAGGGCAGCGGGCCGCGTGCCGCCGGGCCCGGCTGGGATTTGTCCTTGTCCTTCCCGGCGCGCTCGGGAGGTGGTGCTGGATGGCCGGGCTGGCCGCGGGGCTGAGGGGGCCGCGGCGCGGGTGTTGTCCGCCTTGCGGCCGAGCTAGGCGGGAGCTGAAGGAAGTGGTTGAGCAAAAGCGTCGTCCAGGGGCGTGTTTGGTGGCGAAGGGCTCCGTGCTCTGGTTCCCCGCGCTGGAGCTGGAGGTGCCGCTCCTGGCGCCCCAGGAAAATGCGGTGTTCTGTAAAGTTATTTACTGAACTCTGTCACAATGCAAAGCTTCGCCCGGAGCTGGGAATCGGCCGGATTTGTAGCATGGCTTACTCACCTCCATTGCTTCTTTTTCTCTGTAGGACTGTTCATGCTGGCTGCGTAGCTTATTGCTGACAATATTTATCACTTAAGAGGTGTGTTCCTTATTGTTTGCAACAAATCAGTGCTTAACACGCGTGGCTAAGAAACTTCTAGTTTTGTATGGCAGCCTTATGTCTAGGTGAGACAGCAGAGAGCCTGTCCTTGTCATTCATTTTCTCAGCTTTGCCCCGATATCCTGAGAAGTCCTGTGCTCCAGGCAAATGTCCAGAGCAATTTTTTCCATGTGCCAGTTCTAGTAACTGTGAGATATTACCTCTGCACAGGGCCTTTGCAGTTTTGCAGTGGAAAAGTTCCAGAGTGTTAATCCGTGGCTTTCCTTTTGCTTTGTAATTGTTTCCCCCTCCCTGCAATATGGTTTGTAATTTATCAACAGCACGGACGTGACCTGCAGGTCGTTTTTCATCCTTCTCGATAACAAAGGAACCTTTTTTACAATTCAAAGGTAGCTAATGATATGCAATTTAATTCCGTAGTAACTTCAAAGGGGTGGGCAACTTTTTGACTGTGCTGGGCCATCTGCTTGCTGGCTGAATGCAGCTGCTCTGTTCCAGCCCCGTGTTTTGTGCTGTTCCACAGCTCCTGGCACGGCTGGCAGAGGGGAATGGCTGTGAGAGCTTGTGGCTTGATCATCTACAGGAGGCTGCAGCCAGCGCCGTCCTGCAAGGTCACTGACAGCATCGAGTACCTCCTGCTTCAGACCTCCTACGGGAGCCACCACTGGACCCCGCCCAAAGGTGATTTTTGTGCTGGGAATGCTCCTGGAGGTCACTGGTGCCAGGCTGCAGGGAGGATTTTGGCTGAGGTCACTTTAGAGGGGCAGTTACCACCTGAGGGTAGCTGCTGGCTGCGCTGTTTGTCTGCTGGTGCTCCTGACACAGCTGAGGGGGCAGTTTTGGGGCTGAAATCCTCTGCAGGCTGTGGCTGTACAAAGTGTTGGGCACGACTGATGTGGGCTGGGGCAGGGGCTGTCACCCAGCTGAGCTGTCTGATGTTTCTGGCAAGATGTGCACACCACTGGAGCGAGGCAATGAGGGCATGTTCTGCCTTGTCTTGGGTCTCATCCTTTGCAGGCACCTGCAATGCTGCCAGTGCAGGATTGTTTGACCCACGTGTGGTCAGAGGCTGCAGGACTGTGGTCACAGTCTGCAGGAAGGCAAACTGGAATCTGTAATGGAGCACTTGGAATGCCCCATTCTTAGGAGATGCAGATGCATTGATGAAGATCGTTTGCCTAATGCAATAGGGATGAGAGGGACAGATAGGAGAATTAACCTTACCAGCTGTTCTTGGCCATCAGTGAGGCCTCAGAGCAGAAAACAAGCCCTGTGTCCCAGGACAGAGCAGCAGCTCCTCTGTAAAGGCACATTGCAGAGCCAGTGTTTGGTAGGGTATTACACAGTCACAGCCCTGGTACCAGGAAAAGTGCAGCACAGAAGTACTTCAGGTTCCCTTGCATGCTGTTTTTTACCACCTGAGATTTTTTTTCTGATAGTTTTTGCATCTTATTTTGTAAAATGTGTCACTTTCAAAGCATGGTGCAGCAGTTTATAAACAAGAACTTGCAAATTGGAGGGAAAAAATCTTTTAACAGTGTCAGCTAGGCTCTTCTATTAAGGGAAAGAACAAAACTTTCCAAACCTCCCCCTTTGTCTACTCCACCATGAGCCTAAGGGAGTTGAGTTTCCAGCCTAGTGGAAAGCTAAAAAACATCTGCTCAGACATGATTGATTGTTGTGAGAAGAAACCCTTGTCAAAGGGTCCCTGGGAACACAGTAATTCTGGACAAAGTGATTTAAATTATTTGTAGCCGTTTTGGTAGGGAGCTAATTGTCTCGAGCATACATCTCACACACCTAGAGTCATGGAATAGTGTAGGTTGGGAGGGACTCTTTGAGGTTGTGTAGTGCAAGCCCCCACCAGTGGGCAGGAACATCCTCAGCTAGAGCAGGTTGCTAGGAGTCCTGTCCAACCTGGATGTTTCCAGGGATGGGGCACTCACTATTTCTCTGGAAAACTTGTGCCAGTATTTCACCACTCTCGTGGCAAAAGCAAGTCTTGTCTGCAGTCTGAGTCTGCCCTCTCCTAGATGAAAAGCAGGAGCCCTTCTCCTGTCACTCCAGGCCCTTTTCAAAAGTCTGTCCCCAATTTTCTTACAAACCACCACCCTTTAGAAACCATAAGGGGCTCTATGGTCTCCCCAGAGCCTTGTCTTCTCCAGACTGAGCAGCCCCAACTGTCTCATCCTGTCTCCAAAGCAGAGGTGCTCCACTCCCTGATCATATTCATGGCTTCCTGTGAACTCAGTCCAGCAGGTGAATGTCCTTCCCTTGCTGAGGACTCCAGAGATTGATGCAGCATTGCAGGTGGGGTCACACCAGAGCAGAGGGGGAGAATCACCTCCCTCAACACACTGCTTTAGATTTTGGAGATCAAAGACCACAATCTGAGGGTGGTCTGTGATAGAAGCTTGGTGTTGATTTGGGGGAATTTAATGAAGAGAAGCCATTCCATTTTATAATATCTGTGACAGGAGTGGTCTTCCAAGGCGGCCCTGGGACGTGCAGTGTGGTAACATGTGTGTGATGTTGACACAAATTCCATGGGGCAGGAGCCAGAAGGAGAAGTTGTAATTGTCTCTCAAAGCACACACAAAAGGCAGTTTACAGCTATAGCTATATCTTGTTATTTTAAAAGTTCTCTAAGCTGTTGCAACTCTTATGGGATTAAACTGGACTTGCTTGGATCCCCTCACATGAACCTCATCAGCCTTATCTCTGCTCCTAGGACTGTGACTTTGCTCTAGCTGAGGCTGATAGGAAGGGGATGTAGGTTTTATTTTGCCTCTCAATCTATTAGAGCTGCACCAGTGGGAACAGGTGGGAGGATCTGAAGGATGGGGTGTGTGAGGTGTTGCCTGCAGTCCTTTTTCTGCTCTGCAGGTAGACTGTACTGCACAAACATAGCAACTTACTTAGCTTAGACCTGAGGTTATCAGGCAACAACAGGTGATGCATCAGATGGTGTTTTCTGCACAGTGGCTGCTTGAAAGAAAAGTGTATTTTATATTTGAGGTAATGTCATACTGTAAGAGGTGTTCACACTTTTGATACACAGGCAGGGAAGTGAATGGGACCTGTTGCAAAGGCAAAACAAACTTTTTGTGGTACTAAAAGGGCTCTTTGGGTATCTGAGATCTGAGAAACAATTAATCTCTGTGATGAAATTATAGCTATTTGGAGCCAGCTACATAGAAAATAGAGTGACACCAGGGACAAAATAGAGCTTAAACTTTTTTTACCTCCCAGAATGTCCCAGCTCCTGCTATGTTGCTTTTTTGAGGTATTGCTTGGCTTGTTCTATTTATGTTCTGGTCCAGAGCTTTCATGAGAAAACCAAATCTGACATTTCTCAACAAAAGTACAAATGGCTGGGGATGTGTTATATTTATCCTTTGTTTGTAGTGGCACCTCTCATACTGAGCAGCATAAAATAAATGGTGTGTCCTAGAAGAACTACCCAGCTGGTGAGAGGACTGGCTTTTAGACTTTTTGCTTGTTTTAGAGAGGAGTATGAAAGAGAAAAAAATCCCTGGCTGCCTAAATTAAATGCACCTTTTAAATGGTACGTGTCTGTGCCTGGTCCTGTTCTTTCTGGGCTGTTGGCACAACTAAGAGTTTTGCAGAACTGAGCTTTAAGCTTATGTGAGAGGACATGGCTGAGAGAGGATTAAGACTCTCAGATGCCCTGTGTCTGCTCTAACTGGATGAAGGAAAAATGAGGGACTCAGTCCTCAGTATAATCTAAAATGGAACTTTGTGGATATAGAGTACTCCAGAAGTGGAGGAGTGGGAAAAAAAGATGTCTGTTGCTGAGAGGCTGATGGAAGTTTCAGGAGGTGAGGGATAAACAATGATCCTAAAAGCCACAAGACAAAGATAAATCAAGACATAAGATCTGGAAAAGCAGTCTCTGTTCTCCAATTTCCATTTCATCCTGTGTCAGCTACCATGTACTCTCATCTCTGCCTCCCAGTGTTTCCCAATTAAAGCAAAACGGGAGTTTCCTTCCCAGAGATTTCACTTTTCCACCCTCTTGGCAGGCCACGTGGACCCTGGGGAGGATGACCTGCAGACAGCCTTCCGGGAAACACAGGAGGAGGCTGGTCTGCAGGCCAGCCAGCTCACCCTCATCGAGGGCTACAGGAAAGAGCTGCACTACCCTGCCCATGGCAAGCCCAAGACCGTCGTGTACTGGCTGGCAGAAATGAAGGACTGCAACACAGAAATCAAGCTGTCGGAGGAGCACCAAGCTTTCCAGTGGCTGAAGCTGGAGGATGCCTGCAAATTTGCAGAATATGAGGACATGCAAGCAATGCTGAAGGAAGTGCATCAGTTTCTCTGCTCCAGAGAATAAGTGGTTTTGTGAAGTATAAGGGGATTACTTGAGGAGACAGGTGTGCTTTTTATGTTTTAAACTGGAGGAAGAATTATATGGCTGCAGAAATGTAGATTTCTCTTTTTTTTTTTTTTAATCTGTAGAAATTCAGTGAGGATTCATGGAGCTTTTAAAGAGATTGTGCTTTTGTCTCTCCTAGCTGGCACAAAAAAGTGTAGTCTAATTGAACCATAAGCCAGAGATGTCTGAATTGAAGTCCAAAGCTAACAAAAGACTTCCTCTGTCTCTGTCTCCTTTTATTTTTCTTTTGCTTTTTTCCCCCCCTTTCTTTTTCTTACTTGAAGTGCTGAACAACCACAGGTCTTTTTGAAAAATCAAACACTTGATACATCTTGACTTGCTGATGTAAAGCTAGAGAGTTGAGAAAATGAGCATATGGGGATTTTTAATAACGAAACGCTTACTGCAGAAGTCATACCTTGAATTTCAAATGAGGAAGCAGTAGTTCTATTCCCAACTCTTCCAGTGATATGCAGTGATAACTTGTCAGATCTTTCAGGTCTTTCTTTTTGTATCATGAATTTATGTGCATCCATAATGTACTGTTGTGAGAACATTTTCCATCCAGACAGTCTTAGCAAATGGTTGAGGTATGGTATTTAAGTGGTAAATTGAAGTTCTTTTGGCTCTTTCTGTTAATTTTTTGATTTTTAACAGGCCCCTTGCCCATAGATTTTCCAAGGGGTTGAGAAAGGGTATTTAGTCCCTTTCTGCACAGGATATCCAAGCTTATGTGCAATTTTGTGTCTGTTTCATCCTATCAGTGCTTCTGTGGCTGCACCCACTCATCTTTTGGGGCAGCAGACATTACTAATGTTGGTATCAGTGTTACAAGAGTCTCTTGCTTGTCACTCCATTATCTTGTAGTGGAGTGATTTAAAATTGCATATATTTATACTTTCAAAAAAAGGGATACAATCTAAGGAGGCTTTTATATATAAATATGTATGTCTGTATACACATAAAAAACTTGAGTGCTCGTCCACATTACACTCAGGCTTTATTTTGATTATGAGCCCTGCTGGGAAGTGTTTCACTCAGGTGGTGGCAGAGTGTAACAACCAGTGAGAGTTGGAGGGAAGAGTTAAAAGCCTGTGCAGCCTCAGTCTTGGTTTTTCATTATTGTTTGAGGTACCATTTAATCAGTGCTGTGTAAACAATGGTGTTGCTGCCTTCCTGTTTATGAGCAAGATTAGCATATTAAGCTGGAGTTAGAGAGTCATTAACAAGTCATCGGTTCTGCCCATTCAGCAGTAATGAACGCAGGCACTTGGTGCTTTGGAAAATACATTAGCTCAGCTCCAAGCCAATATTTCCTTTTTAATGGCACTGCTCACCTAGTGTTCCCAAAGCGTGTCAAGGTTTTGGAGGGTGACCAGTGCTGTGCACTGTAAGGTGATGCACTCCTTGGACAAAATTCCAAGGGCTGTAACTGAGATAATGGGTCAGGCACTGTGTGTGCATTTTATGTGATTTATGTACAGAACGTATTCCCACAAATTTTGTGAGTAAAATGATTCTTAAACATCTTAAACATTTTTGATCCCAGTGTCTTTGAGTTTCATTTAAAGTAGAAATGTTGGAAAGTCAGAATTTAACTCTGATTCTTGCTGCTCACTGGTGAAGAAAGAGTTCTTCCTCTGCCCATGTCTAATAGTAAGATATTTTCCCAAGGAGCATCTGGGAAACCCTCCAGTAAATAATTATGGAATAATCTGCCTGGCAAAGATATTTATTTCCAACCTCTATGATATTTATGCCCTAAACCAATGGGGCTTGGTTGTTTTTTTTTTTAAGAGCAGTTAAGTTTTTGGTTGTAATAAAATCTTATGACAGCAAACTTTTTAGCATTTAAAAAGAAAAATAATTTTAAAACCCCCCAAAACAAACAAACAACCAGAGATTTTAAAATGATAAAAAAACCCCAGAGATTTTAAATTCCCTGGAGAGACCTTACTTGTGCTGTAGGTTAAATAAAACCAAACTCAAGAGAAATCCATGCTACACTGAAATAGCAGAACAACTTAATTTAGGTCAAGTGAAAGGCGTTGCTCAAGTAAGAGACGTGAGGATATGGTTTCCCTTGCTCTGCTGAACAAATGCACTGACACAGCTCATACTTGACATTTCCTGGTGTTATTGTTTCTTTCTCCACATAACTCTTGACTTACAGCCATGATTACATCATCTCAGAATCAGAGAGAAAGAAAGTATACATTCATTAATATTAGGAAAGCACTAAGACATTGCAGATTTCACTGAGAAAAGGTCAGGATTGAGTGTGATAGTTGCAAAATTAGTGTGTAATTTTGCTCAAACAAGAAGTGTAAAGGCTGAAAACAATGTCTTACTCCTATCTAAAAGAAAAACAACTGTATTACTGCTCTGGTGGAGCAATGTATCTATTAATTTACTATTCTGTATGATTATAGGAAATCAGAGACTGAAGCTGGAATAAAGTGGCTCTATATGCAATATCCCCAACAAGCATGACCAACATTTCTTGCCAGTCTATATAATGAAAGAGGATGTGTGCTATAATAAGGTTTAGTACATCCTAAATACGGAAAAGTTTAGAGAGACACATACTCTCTCAGCAGGGCTCCTGCAGTGATGCAGAGAGGAGAGTGGAGTGCTACATTTTAAGTTAGGAAAATGACTTGCTGATACTTAATTGACAATTTAGTGGGGATGAATATTTTGGCATATACCCAGAAGGGATTTTATAGAAGGCAGTGCTTGTTAATTACATTCTCACACTGACAATGTAACTGATGGCCTTCTGTGTCTAGTGGCAGCTAGTTTTATCTTAGAAAGAATTTAAGGCTCATCAGGACTAAAGATTCACTTTTTCATATGCTCAGTATATGAAAATTTACTTTAATTAAAATGCTCTAATTTTGGTTCAATGGGCAGTTGCAGCTGGCAGAAGTCCCAGCTTCATTTAGGGAAACCTGGGGTTTGTTATAGGTTAAAGCAGCTCTAAAATCGCTAAGCAGCATGTGCCTGTACAAACCAAACAATCTACCCTGGTTGCTTCAACCTTGTCTTGTGCAAGAAGATTGTACTCAAGTGTTTAGAAAAAAACCCCAAACTGTGTTTCCTGTCAAAACAGCGAGGGTGGGGAGATCAGCTGTGGTGGCAGTCTTCCTGGTGGGAACAGTGACACGGGACGGAGCAAAAGCTCTGTCGTTTTGGAGCTAGTCCACTTGGTAGTTGATGTTGTCAAAAAGAGGAGTGACAGTCCCGTCTTTCCACTCGATGAGGATCTCTCCACGCCTGAGGGAAGGGGAGCGGGAGGGGGGAAGGTGTGGCTGGGGGCCCCTTCGCAAGGGCGCCGGCTCCCGGAGATCACCTCTGCTGCTGTTGGCTGGAGAGCTCTTCAGAGCAGAGAGGATTTTCTTCTTCCTGAGAGAAGAGAGAAGACAGTAACTGCACCTCCCTGTCACTTGGTTGCTTCTCCACGTCAGCAACTGTAATGCCACTTCTTTCAGTCATGGCACAAGATGTGTAGGGGAGGAGGAGCCAACACTAGTGCTGCATTTGGGTGGGTCGGTGAGTGGGATGGATAAACTGGGTGGCAGAGAGGAGAAATCCCCAAGAGTGACACATCTGTGACCAGACCCACCTGCTGAGAGCCAGCGACATCAGGTGTGGAATGGGGAGGGGTGCCAAGACCAAGGCTTTTGTTTTGAGATGTTGGAGTTTTTCTTTAAGATGCTGTTCATGGCAAATGAAGGTGACTCTCACTTACTTGTTGTAGTGAACATTGAGTGTCAGTATTATCAATCCCAGTATGAATGCCAAGGGGCTGAGGACCAGCATGGCTGTCTTCCAGTTCGTGCCTGAAAGGGTATTAGAGAAAGCATCACGTGTTTGCTGTACATATCCCTGTTCTTATGCAATAGCCATGACTGCCACAAAAAATCACCTGTAATGTCCCTGAAAAATGCCAGATTACAGGAAAAGTGCTTTGTCTACATGATTGACATCTTACAGCTGCTTTTACACTGCACAGCATCCTTCTATTGAAAGTGGCTACAAAAGTTTTTCTTTCTTGCTATGAAGAAAATACCTCATGCTTTTCCACTCTGCATCTTTCTGATACAAAATAAGAAGGTCTGGGGGAAAGCAGTAGTGTTAGCAGCTGTCTGATTTTCATGTTGTTACTATTTTTTTTTTTAAATCACAGGCCTGTGGAGATTTAAAAAGAGTCTTTCTGACAGTTAATTTTGTGCCCTTATTCCCTATTGAGCATCCTCAGCAGTACCCCAGGGAAATGTATCTCTGTCACAACGGGAAGGAGAGGGGCACTGACGAACCTTCAGCTAGCTGGTCCCTTCCTCCTCTGGCTGATCCCTGGACCTACCTGCAAGCCTGGCCCCAGTGTTTTTCCCCCGATTTCCATGTTTCTTGGAGTGGTTGTGGGATGGATCTAGAGGAAGAAGCAGAAAGACTCTGATTAGCAGTTTCCAGTTGGACCAGGGGTCCAGATTCCTCATAAGGCTTCACTGTAACCACAAATCCCTTTTGTTTGGGACCCAAAAAGGTAAAGGAAACTTTATTGTCACTTGGTGTTCCCCAGCCACAGATAATTTTTGCTCCTAAAACAGTTGGTGGCTCCAGGTTAAGCCTGTATTGCTGAACTGCTTGCCAAGGGAAACTCCTCAGCATGTTGGGTGAAAGCACTCAGTGGTACACGTGGAAGTTCTTCAGAAATTCTCAGGAACTCTAACACCACTGAAAATAGCTGAGTAACCTCAGAGTGCTGCCCACAATTTCCTTCCTGCTGTTCTTACTTATGCATTCAGAAAAGTGCTCACCCTCATTTGCTGGGAGCTGTGCCTGTTTGGTCTTTGCAGGTGACACCGTGCTGTTGAACTTGTTAGCCAGAGGAGGGTCAGTTGAGCTCACAGAAGACTCTCTGTCCACAGCATCAATCTTTGATGAATCGATGGTTTTAGCTTGGAAGGAAATAAAGCAAAGATCTGTGTGATTATCATTTACTTTTTGTACAGGATCCTGGATATGCTCATTGCCCAGCAAGGAAAAGGAATGAAGCCCTGCTGGTTTGGTTCTCTGTCCTGCAGGGCGAGAAGGATGTGGTGCAATCACCTCCTCCTGTGCATCAGGGGCTTTCAGCTGTCACAGATTTTAAAGGTGAAATGAACCTCTCAAGATGGAATCAACAACCACAGCAGAGGTTGTTTTCTGGTGGTAGATGTGGTCATGGGTTTTAAGAATATGAGTGCAACACCAGCTGTTAGAGGATGATGTGTGAGGAAGAGGCAAGAGGAAGAATCACAGCTATTAACAACACTGCAGATATAAAAATGGGATCCAGAGGGTGGTAAGTAGGCCATACCTCTTGGGCTGAATACCCAAAATGAAGAGGAAGAGGCAAGAGGAAGAATCACAGCTATTAACAACACTGCAGATATAAAAATGGGATCCAGAGGGTGGTAAGTAGGCCATACCTCTTGCAAGGCTCAATACCTCCCTTAGCCCTCCAGTCATGCTGCAGAGTAGGGTGTGTGGGCAAACAACTGCTGCTGGAGGGGAGCTTGTGTGAAGTCTGGTGTCAGCAATTCACCTCTCTGTTGCAATCAGGCACATGCCAAGACCAAGAAAACTGTGACTTCAGGGCTCCCTGCTGCCTATCCAAACCCCCTCCCATCCTGTGGCATGAGCACCCACACCACAGCTACACAGGTGTCATTTATTGAGCAGATAACCCACCCAAGTATAAGCTGTCTGTTGATGATCAGGAGTTAGATAGAAATGGCTGAACAAATACATTGGACATTGATGTGTTACTGAGTAGTCAGATGTTCTCTCCAGTAGACTGAACCATGGGATTCATAGGAAAATTATGACTTTGTGTGAGACACCGAGTGGCACGGCCTGATTCAAAAGCTGCCCTGTGTTTACCCTCACAGCCTTATTTAGGGATCCTGGCTCCAAGGCAGCCCTGGGCTGCCAGGAGCATTGCCTTGGGGAATGAAAACGCTCTTTTCACATGCCTTTTTCCCATATCTTAAATGTTCCACGCATTTCCTAGCCTATATTTAACTAGCCTATTATGGTATCTAATTTGTATGGTCCATATTTAACTTAATGTTAAACGAACGCTAACACTTGTAACTATTGTGATTATATGTTGACCTTCTAGTTGGCTAATTAAAAACCTTGAGGGGAAAAAGGCCACCTTCTCTACACATGGCAGCCAAAGCAGCTGATGTATGTCTTTTTATTTCAAATTAGATACACTGTCTCTGTGTCAAAAGATTATACTTGTAATCCATCTGCTTATGGCAATCAGATACCTCACATTTTCTCTTTACTCATTTCTGCAGAACTCAAAATCTCATGGGTCCATCAGCCTTAAGGTAAGGAATAGCCTCCTGTCAGGGAAATCATTTTCCCTGAGGAATGTTGGGAACTTCATCACCCATCTCCATTTGGACAAACACATAAAAATCATTACAAACACCAGCTCTTTTTGGGTCTCTGGAGTGGAAGAAAGGA